AAAAATTTTATCTTAATTTTATAAAGAAAGGATGGAGAAGAGATGAACCGATAGTCAATGTGCGAACATTTAAGGCAAACCACGAGGGTTAGTCACGTGGGCCTGGTGTCACATATCAGGTAGGTTGAGACAGAACAGGTATTAACCACCTTTTTGTTTGGACAGGTTGGGTTTTCACACACTGATGGGGAGTAGCATTGGTTCATACCTCAGATTCAAACCCGGGACCAATAAGACTGGCAGTACAAGACCATTACTCTACCACCGAACCCATAAAAATGAGTCATGTCAGGAAAATAATAGCTGTCTCAGCCCTCCCACAAATCTGGTTCATTCGTCCGTCCTACATTCCTTGACTCTCCCCAATATTTCACATGTAGCTTATAAGTCAAAATTATATAGTATACAACATACCCGCCTCTTTTTTTGTTCTATGCTCAAATCATTCATATTCAGTAGGTTAAGACTACCCCTGCCCTACTTCAGCATACACTAACACAGGTCTAGTTTGCGGCCATGAACCCGGGAAAGAAAGAAAAAAATCCGCTCTTTGATCTTGCCAACGGTGCCCGCTTCAAGACGTGACCACGACCACCAACGTAATTGGTGTGCCCGGCAACCCCCTCCCCCCCAATAAAACTGACAGGCACAGCCAGTCGTCCTCGGCCAGGGGAGACCTTCAGCCTGGCCACGGTCTGGTCTTGTTCCTGCTGATGCTATCCTCTATCGCCCCCAACGACCCACCCACCCACCCGCTCCTTACCTCGGTGTCCCCCAACAGTTTATTCAGTACACAATTTTAATCCTATTTATTTTCCTGTTCTTCAACCTACACTTTTAGTTTATACCTTTTTATTATTGCCATTTATCAAGTCTTATTTATTATTTAGGTTTCGGCACATCATCAGGGACTATCAGATAAGAAGCACATCAGAAAGAAGTTTATCACAGTACATACCTATTATACAGATTAGGTCAGGATCTTAAGACTGGCTAAAAATGACTTGGTTAAAAAAAATCAGAAACAATATAAACGATTCTTACATCTCTCGCACCCTAACAAAAACAAGCCACCTAACCTTACTAGTCATTAATAGATCGGAGTGACTGATCCTAATTCCTAGACCAGTAAAGAAATGTGATGCTCAGAATACCACGCACAAAAAATTAAAGATCAGTAAATACATGATACTGCTCAATACAACTGGCGAAAGAAAAACACAGTAATCCTCCCCCCCCCACCAATGACCGCAAAAATCTCTTCCTGGATTTGCGAGCTCGCCACGCTGTCCAAACTCTGGCTCACTGCACGTATGTATGTCTGGTGTGGGGGGGAGGGGGGGGGGAGTACCGTGTAGGGCTTGTAGCTCCTGAAAAGCTAACAAATAGTCTTATAGTTATTATAAATCACCATAAACACCATCAAAACACATCATGTTCCTATATATCAAGTCGTTTTAAATTCAGTTTAGGGAACATCTGGGAAAAATATTTAGCAATGTTTCTCGTGCAGCGATTTGGCCCGTCATGAGGTGTTCGTGAGCCCCTGCGCTAAGTCTTCCACGTCATAACGTTGTCACGAACGGCAGCGGCTTTTTGAGTCGCTTACATACAAAATGATAGGATTATCTGGAGGTCGTGAGCGATGATTGTTGTGATAAGCAAAGGGTGAATTGCTAGGTCACTGCAGAAAGGGATGGAGAAACTGATAAATTCAGCTTAGAGGCAGTAGTTTGGAATTAAAATGGAAAAATTTGGGAGAAAAGCTTTTAAAATAAAGAGACAGAAGTAGACGGGAGAGAGCATGTTTATAAAAAAGTGAGTTGGGCCAGGAGTTTGACCGTCACGCGTGGCAAGATGTAAACAAAGTCAGCTGGGAGGTGTCACCTTCCGCAAGACAGACTACTAACACTTATTATAAAAATAACATTGCCCCTAAACCCTTAAATGCCACACGAGACACTTCCTAGCCTTGAAAATACATAAGCGACAATTACCTGAATAAAGAAAGCAAACAGTATGAAGATGAAGAATTTCCCGAGGGAGTGTGAGGCGTGTCGGGGTCACCACCAGTTGTAAACAGAGAAGAGGTCGGAGGTGAGTGGTCTCCTCGGGCGATGTGGCAGCCAATCCTACACTTGCCGCGAAATATTGCCCGCGCCAGATGACAGGTATTGGCGGGGTGACCTTTGGTGGGATGCTGAAGCCAATTAAAAAATCGGAGATCCTGGAAGGTTTAATGAAGTCGAGAGGCTATTGTGTGGGAGTGAAGCACGCGAGATACTAGTCCACCCTAGCGAGGTTTTCTGGCTTTGGTGGGCGTGGGGAGTACACTTGGTGGGCGTGGGGGAGTACACTTGGTGGGAGTGGGTGTTTAGAGTGAAGACGTGAGAATGAAGGGCGTGATGGGTGAAGACGTGAGAATAAAAGGGGTGTTAGGTGTGAGAATGAAGGGCGTGTTGAGTGAAGGCGTGAGAATGAAAGTAGTAGTAGTAAGACGAACGGGTGTAGAGATTGATGGTGGAAGTGGGAGTGTGGACCTGGTGTAGGTATGGGAGCTAAAGGATGGGGTAGGGGGGTTAGGTACATAGTGGGTAGAGGTATGTGGGTAGCAGGAGGGGGGTGTGGTAAGTGGATCTTGTTGGGTAGGAGAGTCATAGTTGGTGAGTGAGGCTGTGGTAGGTGATGGTTGGGTGGAGGAGTGGTGGGTGGCAGTGTGGTGCCGGTGGGGCATGGTGGGTGGAGATGTGGTAGAGGGTGGGTGGAGAGGTGGTAGAGATGTGGTGCGGGTGGTGTAGGGTGGGTGGAGGTGTGGTGGAGGTGGGTGGAGGTGTGGTGAGGGTGGGTGGAGAGGTGGTAGAGATGTGGTGGGGTGGTGTAGGGTGGTGGAGGTGTGTGTAGGGTGGATGGTGTGGTGGAGGTGTGATGAGGGTGGGTGGAGGTGTGTGGTAGGGGTGGGGCATGGTGGGGTGGAGGTGTGGTGAGGGTGGGTGGAGGTGTGGTAGAGGTGGGTGGAGAGGTGGTAGAGATGTGGTGAGGGTGGTGTAGGGTGGGTGGAGGTGTGGTGTGGGGTGGGTAGAGGTGTGGTGCTGGTGGGGCATGATGGGTGGAGGGTGGGTGAAGGTGTGGTGGAGGGTGGGTGGAGGGGGTGGTAGAGATGGTGCAGGTGGTGTAGGGTGGGTGGAGGTGGGTGGAGGTGTGGTGGAGGTGGGTGGAGGTGTGGTAGAGGATGGGTAGAGATGTGGTGTTGGTGGAGCATGGTGGGTGGAGAGGTGGTAGAGATGTGGTGCGGGTGGTGTAGGGTGGGTGGAGGTTGGGTGGAGGTGTGGTGGAGGGTGGGTGGAGGTGTGGTAGAGGATGGGTAGAGATGTGGTGTAGGGTGGGTAGTGGTAGTGTGGTAGAGGGTGGGTGGAGATGTGGTGCTGGTGGTGCATGGTGGGTGGAGGTGTGATAGAGAGTGGGTGGGTGTGTGGTAGAGGGTGGGTGTGTGGTAGAGGGTGGGTGTGTGGTAGAGGGTGGAGGTGTGGTAGAGGAGGACACCACCACCCTGAGGACGTCTACCCTCACAATTCCCCGTAAGTCTCACAAAAGAGGAGCATGACAGGCATCAACACAAGGTCACCTCGTCCGTGTGTGGCCGCCCCGGCTATCAACTTGATTTAGGTCGTAAACACAGTCATAAATAATTCTGAAGTTTATTTTTTCCACATTCGGTGCTTGAACTGCAAATCTTCATATTCATAATTAAACTATAGTGAAGCCAGAGCGAATATCAACCACCCGCACTTGGTTTGTGTAATTAGTTGCTTACCTATATGATCCATTTGTGTGTACCCGGTATATTTACTTTCCAGATAAATTTATTGCTTGAGTATCTAGTTGGATGAATTGGCCAATTAGCTATGATCTGGGCGTCTGAAGCGATGCACTCGTAACAGGAAAAACACCACAATATAACAACGCCAATACAAAGGCAGTTAACATTAAGTACGGCAACGCTTCTTTACATATTTTACTGATGATTACTAATGTAGAGTTAAGTACTAGTCTGTCACCGATGTCAACAACGATAAACTTTTTGTTAATAACCCCAAGAAAAGTTTGTGTCTATGACTTTACCCTAAAATCATAAGCCATAGAAAAATAAATATAGAAACATGGACAAAATAGAGTTCTTGCGCGTTTGGATACACGTGAGGTAAAGTTCCATACGGTTACTCAGCCAATTTCTGGTCTTTGTATTTTTTTACTCGTGATCAGGAGTCGGGTTTGGTGGGCAGTGCGAGATGCAAGTAAGGTGCATTGATGATCAGTACCAGCTTAGGAACTTTTATGATTCAAAATGCTGAATGTGAGAAGGTCACTTACGGCCAGTCAAGGCTTATTTATCTAAGTTTCATACATCGGTTACGGACGTGGTTGTCCGTCAGACAACTGTTTTTGAATTAAGTTGCCAAGAAGGATTTTACAGTTGTCATGAGCCACCGGACTAGATTTATCAAGCCGTAGAAAACCCTGGACAAAACCGTGTTGAAAGTTTTCGCCACTCCTGTATGCCTCAACAATTTCATATTCCACCGTTGTTTCATTTATCTTTACTAGCTTATACACATATACAGTAACTAAAAGGTTTATGAAGGTAACTAACTAGTCTATGCCATACAAATGGGACAGACAAATGACATATTTAACCATGTCTAAGAAAGCAAACGAAGTATCAAGGAACAATCCTCTCAAAACATTCATGACTGCATCTTCGAAACCCTCTGATTTTTATTTTTACTGTTACCCAAGGAGTTTCAGGGAAGGATACATTAACTTGTACATGGGAAGGCTGGGGTGGGCGAGGCTGGTGAACACCCCCACAGGTCAACACCCGCTGATGATGCAGTCAGACAAGTGGGCCACAGCCACCCACGGTAATATTATACACACTGTACCAACTCCCCCGTCCGCCAGTACATTCCCCATAACTAATGACATGTTATGTTGTGTTACAGCCATCGCTGTGCGCTTCCTCACCCGACGATACATCGGCGAGTACAGCTCCGACACAGGTGAGTAGACCAGCTTGCTGTGTGCCTGTGTCCCGGGTATAAACAGGTTATCCATCTCTGTTAAGCCACACTCATGTGCCTTACTGGTTCTATAATACAACCACATTTATCTTTGACATGTACGGCATGCTTCACTAGCTATTACCCGATACATAATACGGTAAACCATTTCATATCCAACAATAATGAGCCTTACTGCTTGCATGGTCATAAAGGCTAATTATTATAAATAAAAAATAAATGGCAGCTTTTACATGTGGTGGCCTGGTGAGCAGGACCGGATGTTAGTGGGAGCACTGCGAGGGCCTCAGTGTACCCAGACACAAGGTAAACACTGTCTGTACTCACTGCTTGAACGGTGACGCGTCGCTACACTTGTTCACTTACCACCAGGAAGATAACAATACAGCTGCTCCCTATTTGTGGGAACGTGCAGTTGGTGGTACCTAATGTATGATCTTGAGGAAACGTACAGCTGATGATACAATTATGTGTAGTATTGAGGGAACGTACATTGAATGATACTACTGAGTAGTAGTACAGTAATTTCCTCCTTCGAAATGCTAACCAAAAGCACACTGTACACACCACCACAAGATATTCACCTCAGAAACCTCTCACCCAGGAACATGCATCTCGTCACACTACACACCACCGTTCTTAAAAAAACAACAATACAGAACCCAACTCATCCAAAATCCACTTTGTCCACATCACAATGCTGCCCTACAAATTACAACTGTTTACTCATCACATGGCCGATATTAATTTTACTCAACACAGAATCTTTCAGCTTAACTAAAAAAAAAAGAAAGAAAAAGATCTGGGAACAAACTGCTGTCTCTAATACCTGAGGAAAGGCGCATCAGCTTCGGACCCGCGTTAAGCAGTGGGGAACTGTGTGATCCTGAAGGAACTTACAATAGGTGATACTTTTACTGTGTACTTCTGGGTGAACGTGAAACAAACGAATAACTGTTATTTGTATCTGATGGAACGTTCAAATAATGAGAAATTACTGAGGAATCGTAGAGCAGCTGTCATACTGATAAACCAAACTGTCGTGTCTAAGGCGAGGGAAAGTTGATGAAATAAACACTACCGGGTTTACCAGCACCACAAACCCGTCGTGATCTGACCTTTCGTGATCGGATGCATCGCAAGGCAATAACGACAACCAAGTGCAGCCTTCCGAGAATAACTTGTCAGTCACGACATAATCCACGGCAACATAATAACAAAGATACTACATCTATCTCTTAATAAGTATGGCGCTGAAGCAGCACAAATTTTAACCTTGAACGTTTCTGGCAGCTACATAACAGCCTGCCTTTTATTAATCTGGCCATTCTATGATTACAAGCGCAAGTACAGTAATGATACCATACTTGACGACGGTTGCGCGCCTGAACTACCAACTTGGACATTTCTACATAGAAGATAAAAGGTTTCTCACTTCATGAAAATTACAAAAGTGGTCTATGAATCCATATTGTGTAATATCGCAGTTGCGATTTTTTTTTCATTTTGAATCTACGGACGCGACAAGGACGTTTCCGTAACTTCGATGATTCTTTTCATATAAAGGATTTTGTTAAAAGATGAAAATTAAAGCAATTGTGATATTTTAGGTTTGGTCAGGCAGGTTAGTTTCGTTCATTTTATAAACGATAAAGTTAAGTTTCTTAACCTAAAATACTATAGTTATCTTCAATGTTGAGTTTTTAAAAAATACTGTAGAACATAACAATAAAAAATGCAAGGAACCGACCAGCAGTCACGGGAACGAAAATGGATGGGCCTCGGCATCGCGTCCGTCGATTCACCACGGAAAAAAAATTGTAAAAAATTTCAAAACGTATAGGCATCATCCCTTTTTTGTAATTCTCGTGATGTAAGAAACTTCTTTACATAACATGTTTACGAATCTTCGGCTGCGAACGTTTCAACCCAAGACGTTTCACGGAAGATACTCCAAATCTGACCTATTACGTACACTAACATGCCCTACCAGTAATCTAACCTAAAACACAAACTAATGTACCGGTGCTATTTAAAACTGCCAATATCACCTAAATCTTATGTATAGCAATACACACTAAGCTTCCCTTTTGTACAGATATGATGTACCAGCACGAGACCACTGTAGACCACGAGCCTGCGCATCTCCACCTGCTCGACGCAGCCACTGCGCAGGTTAGTCACACATAGTTGTAGACCAATTGGCTCTTTAGCCCCAGTGAGCTCAAGCCAAACCTAACCTTATCATTAGGATTAGGGCCAATTACGACTATGATATATTAGCGTTGAGGCCGAATTCTCCTGGTTAGAGTATAAGATTAGAATTGGAGGTGACAATGGTTCTATTTGATATCACCAGCATACACCATCCCATAGGCCCGGTGTCTCAAAATATTTATGCTGTACAGTATTTGCTACATTTGAGGTAAGATAAAGCATCTACTGCCGCGTTGAAATCTCTGCAATTTCGGCCTATTTTAGTTTCCGTCTCTGTGTTCTTACATATTTGATGGTATAAATTACAAGAAAGGTGTCAGTAAAATATTTTGTATAACAAGAAAAAAACAGAGGTGCTAAACTAGACACTGGGGCTACCATTTTTAAGTTCGGTATCATAATACCCACAGTTGTTTTAGTTTAGTATTCACAAACAAATACTCTGTATTTCAAATATCGGCATGAGCACTATTCCCTTGATATATAATTATTGGCGACAATCCCGTCGCCGATTTTGTATAGAAAATTAATGTAAAAAACGCCGCAATTTCACCGTGTTTTACAGTAGACACTACCATAATTGTTAAAATGGGGTTATTTCTAAGTTAAACCTAACGTAACCTTAGTTGACAAGAACAACAAGCAGCCGAAGCGTTGTTAAAAGACCGCACCAACCCAACCAAAGAAACATACTTAACCTTACCTAACCTCCGAGCCCCGGGGGTATTGAACAGAAAAAACTTACTCTGATATTTTTTTTAAGTAAGAGAAACCTGCTTGAACAAAACCATGAGCGGAGGACAAAATCGAGCTTGGATCGGACCGCTGTGCCGTTTTATCGCCGCGAAAGACAAAAGTAGTGCCTACAGTGCGAGCCTTGGAGCCTAATTATCTACCAAACAAAGTATTTGCCCAGGAAATGAATTTCATATCCGAACTCAGCGATGAAAATATAGTACGAAAACATCCATCAAAACTTAATACTACTGTACCCTTCAAAAATCTCATTTACGACCGATGTTCATATTTTCGTAAAAAAAAAATGACATACTGAAAGCCTATATATTGAACATTTAAACAAACACTTACCATAGCTTGTCATGGATACACATCAGAAAATGTCCTGTTCACCCTTCAGATTTTCAAAATGTTAGCAACAATGTCAGACAACCACTTATAAATTATCATGGTTAGATATCACTACGAACACATCCCTTAGAAGATACAACTTGTCTGTGCCATCGGTTTTTCATAAGTTATTTTGCATAATTTACGGGAATTTCAGAGTTTTCGTTATATCCTAATATTTTCGTTATTCTTCACGAATGCCATTATAGCGATGCATAACCAAACGTAGGCACTGTAAATATCCTAAAGAGTAAAAACTAACTTCACACCGATCACCTGGTGGCTCATCAGACACTGTAGTATTGACAACTTAAGAAGTTAAGACTGACAAGTGACCACAGACTATATTCGAAAGATAGGAAAGAGACTGTCCCTACCATTAAAATAGATGTGAGGTCTAAAGCCACGACAGCGCCATCTAATGAGCTGGCGCATCACTATACGGAGTATCATTTTAACATTTGCTAACTTGTCAAATTTTCATACGAAATATGCTTAAGATAAATTAATATAGCTAATTTCATATTTTCTCCATATGTATAAATTAGTCGTTCACCTTGCTATGTTATAATAAGTTACTGGAAGAATTGTTACTCCCATTAATTTTTATTCATGCTTGGAACATACTTTTACATCTTTTATGTGTGACTCATATAAATATCCTATTTCATGTATTCATTTAAGTCAACTCAATGCCAACTCATTTTCTATGCTTTAGAATATAAAACATTATTTTTTTTTAGTAGGCTATCATAAGTAACAGTCAGTATTTGGGGGGTGAAGGACATACATAATTAGTTTTATTTTATTTTCCAAAAACATATATAAATATACAAATGTGGATCATAACATAAAGTCTACAGACATTATACATATGCAAATATATTTATTTGCAATATTTGACACTAGCAGAATCGCGCTCATCCGCTAGGCAACGGTAGGATGCCACCCTCTCATTGTTCAGTCCCCAAAACTTCTTCCATCAATAGTTCATTAACGGTGTATGTAAGTTCCACCATGTTTTTCACTACAACGGTACAGCAAAGTATGTTTTTTAGCATTAAACTATTATTATTTTATTGTCTAATCATCACTACATATAACGACACCCATCATCACTACATATAACACCACCCATCATCACTATAGATCGGTAAAGTAGTTTCCGAGATTCTCGTGCGGACACACAGACATACTTCTTTGTTTTATATAGATAGATACTGTACACATTATAATACAAACCTAGGTTAATATCTGGACATGCATTTTTACAAAGCCTACCCTGTAGAAGTTGCTTTTCCTGCAGTGTAATTGCCTTCGGAAAAATGATGGCTGCATAATCTGGTGTTTTTGCTTTTATTTTCTGGGCCCTTTCCTTGAAGTTTCTCAAGCCCCAGTACTTGTATCCATTGCAAGTACCTGTAAATAATATTGAAAAATCCGATTCTATTTTGCCTGCAGGGAGTTTTCAGTGTTTGTAAATATAATGATAAATAACCTGTCATATTATCATATGTATGTAACTCAAAACTGTGCTCCTACCTTTCTTTATCCTTTGGGAATGAATGGTATACAAATTGGGGATGATCTTTCTTGTTTCTGCGACATAACACGCACACGGGTGTCCTCTTGCTGCCGTTTTGACAATAAATGAATTTCGCGGTCACGTGACAAACAAACTTTAGTCTTTGCAGACGACACAGTTGCACACTGGCGTCATCTATTGTTATAGCTCAGGGTTTTTTTTAGGTCATAATGAGCACAACATTTCGGTCCGCTTTCCTATTTTTTGTATATAGTCTTTGGAGTGACGACTGATTCGCGTTCAGGGAATTTTATAAGTAACTAAAACTACTTTCCATTTTCTTTAGGTCCCCGACACTAATGCCATCTATTGAACAAACTAGAAATAATAGAAAATGGTCATTAATGCTTTCGAGAGTAGTTTCTAACGATAACTCTAATATTTCCCGCTGTTTTTACTTTTTCTACCACCGGCATTCATTTATCAATCTTAATTATTTATCATTTCACCACTTATCACATTATTAGTCGTTCTGGCGGTTTGTATGTTACTTGTAAGGTTTGTTATGAACTACAGTACCGGGTATATTGTCTAGTATGAGTACCTGGAAGAAACTTGTGATGTTAGTAGGCTACGCTCAGCTTACTTTGCTAGTCTATACATCAACTATCAAAGGAATGAACGTTTAAGGTGGCTGAATAAATAGGACCTGGAAAGTACCACTAAATTACTGAGACCTATTTTTAACTCTAGGTGATCTTTAAATTCTGTCACAACTGCAGGTTATCGATTACTATTTTGTATGGAAGGGAAATGCTGGGGTTAAAAACTATTTCCTCCCGTATTGGCACCGAGTGACAGGGCCTCAACTATAACCTAAATTTATCATAAATGTGCTTTCAAATGACTGGTTAATTGAAGCTTAGGACCCACTGAGTAATCCCTCTCTTTTTATAGGTTATTTTGGAGTAGTTCTACATCCCCTTTTCAGATATGCAACACAAAATTGTCGGAAACGAATAAGAAAAAAGTTACAGCCAATTATAGAACGGTGGTCTGCGACATACAGACTATATTATATCGCACGTAGAAATGTAATCAAACTGCACTCCTAATTTTCTTATTGGTTCCGACATTTCTATTTGTACATTTGAAAAATATTTAAATAAAATTACACTAGAAACAACAATATAAGGATGGGGGGTTTACTCAATGGGTGCTACTGGAGAATTCAGTTCACAGCAAAGTTGTGGGGTATAATTGGTGTTTGTGTTCACACTCAGGATGGGATGAAGGAAGGAAACTCACAATGCGCTTTCTGTATATATATATTGTTGTACAGTGCAGTGCTTAGGAGTGACTAGGTGAGGAGAAGCTTGCTCAGAGGTCCTGTAGGGAGAGGAGGTTTCTGAGGAAGCTGGGTGGTGAGGAGCTGTGAGAGATGTTGCTGGGCCGGTAGCCGAGTGTAGAATGGTCTCCCTGGCCAGGCATGGCCGTATTTATACAATTTACGAGGATCAGGATGTTCAGTATACAATGACATTATGAAACGGATCAATATGTGGGTGCTTATATATTGATATTTGTGAGATTAGAAACGTGTGGAATGAGACAGACGAAATATACGCAGTCAATTGAACCCATGGGGTACCGCGGAAAGTGAACAACAGAACATATGGGATTAATTCCAATAGAGACTGGCCCGACCCCCAAACTCCACTTTGTCAGACACAATACCTACGTTGTAGTAAAAATTACATCTTAATTTTATGATGGTATGCACACACAATTAATAATTAAGAGAAATATCAATAATATTAGTTTTTTTAACACTTACATTAGTAGAAAAGATGGCTGGGCACACAGGGATGGGGGGGTTGGTTCCGAGGCAGAGGGCAGATTATTGGCCCTCACCTGTATCACTTGTATCACTATCCACCACATAGGCTTGCAGGGCCTCTTTGTCAAACCCCTCAAAGTCCATATCCTCACTATCACTATCACTGACTTAGGCCGGCTGTGGTGGGTGGCGGGTGAAGAACTCGGTAATGTTTTGATGACTGGGCGACCTTGTGCGCATCCTGCCCGCGCCGCTTCCCGCGTATATGAGTAGATGCTCCGCGTAAATGCGAAATCGCGGAAAGTGAAACCGCGTAAAGCAGGGTATTACTGTATCTCCATACATCAACGGTCGCAGCTCAGCAGGATTACAGGGCTGCCAACATACGGCTGGAACAACTCACCTTTCCCAATACCTATTGTCACTGGTCTCAAATTGTTCACACTACAGTATGCACCGATACTTTTTGTTGCGAGTGTACAACTAGTGAGTTAATTTTGAAATGAACAGTGTTTGTGTTAAAATACAATGTGGCAAAATTAAACATCTTAACACAACACTAAAAAAAGTACCGGTAATACAACACAAGGAAGCTTATCCTAGTTCCCGTAGTGCCTGTAACTCGGGGAAATCAGGGCAGATAGATGCGAGTGCTGGTGTATCCATTTGGGTTACTACATCACCTCAGGCTGAATCAATGGAAGTTGTCTCAGGCAGTTTCTTTTACAAGGAACCACCTGATAGAGGTCGGTAACAAAAAGGAAGATATGCTAATATTTGTTACTACAAAGATTCATCCACCCTTGAGGGACAAATATTTTAATAGGATTAACATTTGGTGAGGTGTGGGTGGGTGAACAGCTCATGGTAGGAGCTCCTTTTTTTTTTTATCTGTGTTTTTTTTTTAGGGGAAAAAACACATTTGCTTGTCGCAGAAACATGTACCACTGACATAGTTTTTGAAATTTTAACTCTGATAATACCCCCCAAAAAAACATCGCATTAACTAATTCTTACATTAAGGTTTAATGGCAGGATGAGAGACACGGATGAGGTACAGTATTAAGTTGTCTTTATGTTGCAGACCTCACACCAGTTTCTGCGTCACCTAGCCTGGGCTGACGCCTTTGTCGTTGTCTATGATGTCACCAGTCGCACCTCTTTTATCCACGCCCGTCACCTACTCCACCTCCTTCAAGCCCACACCCGCATGCCCTCACACACCCAAGCTGCAGATGCCCATGACGGTTACACCAAAAACAACCATAATGCACACATCAGGAGTGGCCATGAAATACACACTACAAGTGGTCATAGCACTCCTGTTGGAAATGATCCAAGCACAAACACTGTATTTGGCCATGACCCACAGACTCCCCGAAGACACAACATCAAGAGCGGAGTGAATGTACGGAGTCACAGTGGCAAAAACGCACACACCAAGGGTGGTAGCGAGACACATGGCCAAGACCCACACAGCCCAGAGAGCCAGGACACACTCCCTTGGAGTACCCCTGGTCTTCACACCCGACCTGCTAAAACTCTCCGGCAAACTAGTCATTCCCGTCTAATGCACGGTCACCCTACGTACCAAGCTGTAAAAGGTGACCAAACTGAACCCAGCTGTAGATATTTTAACAATGGCAACTCATCTACTTTGATCATTCCAGAGGTGTCATCACAGGGCAGCCATCATTGTAACCGACCTCCTGGCTACTCTCTTCCTGTTGACACTCAAAGTCAACCTGTCAACCATGTCAGCCACCACACCAATAACTATTGTTGTCACATCAATAGCCCCAGTCATTATAACAGCAACCATAGTCAAAACACGGACAGCCACCGTCGTCACATCTACAGACACCAGAGACAGACTAGTCACAGTCAAGACACCAACTCAAATCACAACTCTGACACATACAACCATCATACCTGTGGCGTCCACTTCCACAATAAACATGACACTTATACCAGCGTATACAACTATGTCAACAAACATGATCTCCATATCAATATCCAAAATTCTGTTCATTCTGCTGGAATGAATTCACAACATCCTATTGAGTCTGGTAGTAAGCAAGAGAGAACACCACCACCACCTTGTACCACTAGCCTGCCACACCAGGATCACCTACAAATAAGTAATTATCAAACCCAAACTGGATATCTTAGCCAAGCCGTGTTATGTATAAATTCAACAAGAGTGCGCCACAGAGACCACAGTCCTGACCATAATCATCTGAAAGGTCATAGTCATGACAATAATCATTTGAAAGGCCATAGTCCTGACCATAGTCACCCGAGAGGCCACAGCCCAAGCCATAGTCATCTGAGAGGCCATAGTCATTTGAGAGGCCACAGCCCAGACCAAGGTCACCTGAAAGGCCATAGTCATCATACAGGCCATAACTCCGACCAAAGTCACCTAAGAGGCCATAGACGTGACCACAGTCACCTGGGAGGCTACAGCCACGGCAACAATCGCCTGAAAGGCCACAACCCTGACCACAGTCACCTGAGAGACCACAGCTCAGATCATAGTCACCTGAAAAGCCACACCACACTGCTTCTGGGCAACAAACGTGACTTGGAGCACTTCAGGTAAGTGGCATGATACATGGTACCTAAAAATAAGTCTCGAGTTGTTGCAGTATCATAGACAGACTTTTCCTGGTCTGTCATCAGTAAATCTACATTATGTATTTCAATATTTTCACCTTTAAGGAATAACTAACAATTCTTTCATGTGCTAATGCATTAAATTATGGTTAGTACATGTACTGTATGAACAGTATAAGAAAATAAGACAATATTCACAATCAAGGTGAAAAAATCCCCCGATACTGCACTTTAAAAGTTTGGGTGTGCAAGTCTATAAACAGGAGGATCTGTCATTTGCAGGATTAAATCTGGCAAGTAGTTATATTCATGTAGAAAATAAATAATTATTAACTGATAAAGATATCTAGGTTGTTTAACAAAAAATATATAGATAGCCAAATGGTAGAAACCCTCAATATCAATTCACATTTAGCTTTCATTTTCAATGTTAAAAAAATACAGGTTTGAGGCAACTAATGTTAATGACAACATTTTTTGTGACTTTCTGCAACCTCAAATTCATTTGTTCTTGTCTTTTATTAATAGAAACCTGTTGTAATGATACTTACTTTAATTTCCTCAGTCTTTTTCCCTTAAAATTTTTTTCATCAACTTACTATATTCACTGATAAACCTCAGGCTAAGACCAGCATCAATCAGCCTCCCACACAGTAGCACAAAGTACATTATAACCCTTCAATGATTTCTTATCAGATGTGTGTGGACTGACGAAGGTGAGGCTCTCTCGCTAGAATTCAGTTGCCAGTTTTATGAGGTATCTGCAGCCGAGTCTCTGCTGGGAGTACATCTAGCATTCCACTCCCTACTGAAGGAGGCCCGAGCACTACAGTTCATCAGGAATCTGCCGCAACCAAACCCAAAGACCCCAAAGAGCATGGTGTCATCTGCAGTGTCGAAGGTCATTGGCAACTTCTTCACAAGAGCAGGAAGTGGTCGTAAAGAGAGACAATCAAACAGCATCTGATTATTTATCATAGTAGATATTTTATACACTGTTAAAACAGAACAAGTCATCTCCCATGTTTGCCTTCAGGCATCTTGTACACAACACAGTCAGCACTCACACCCCTTTACTGGAAACAACACAAAATGCTTACATATTCGGTAATAAAAAGCTTAATTCTAGCAGAATAAAACAATATTTCCTATAGTGTAATTAAAATGAACTCTGTTATTGAAACTCTCATTTTAGTGAGAACTCATCCTAGGTGCTCTGTGAGACAATTTTATTGCACTCAAGTGAGCAATGCACAACAGAGTAAATATGTACAATAATTGTGATTGTATTGTGTTAGTTAAAAAAACACAACAGACTTCAAGATGGAATTGATAAGTGAATATAGATACTGAAAAGTGAATTGTCAGAGAAAAATGTGGGTATTTTTTTCAGTGTGATCTCATTTTCTATCCAATATAAAACTACATACAATACACATAAAAATTCCTCCTTAACAGCACACATCCTCATTCATTTGTTTTATTTTCATCTTTGATTCTTATATATGTTGTCACTTATATGAATCAACTAAGGTCTTATAAGTTCTGTTTTCTGGTATGCTCATTCAACTCCTAAGTCACCCATACTTTTCATTATATTTTTGTCGTACAGAACATAGTAGTATGTTATGACCCTGTAGTACTCTGACACATCTTGGTAGATCAGTACCCTAGCATTCACCCTTATTGTTCTTTTGAAATAGTGTCAACTAGTGAATGTATTGAAGATTCACTACATGACTTAGGGAGATTCTTCAAGGATCCTGTCTTTATTAAGTTGTTGAATGGAATTTATTATGTGGTCATTGAAGGTGTCCTACTTTCTCCTAAAGATACAGAAGTGGAGATAATGTGAAGTACAGTATTGGACACTAGTAGTTCAAGGACAGGATTATAAATAATTCTTTTACCTAATCTCATAAAATCTTCTTCTGTAATGGCTAAACTCAAGGGCAAGCATAAACACCCATTACAGGAGTACTGGGTTTGTGGATATAGAACCTGATGATCAACTCAATAGTAGTAAGTCTGAATGGACTACAAGGCAAACCCCACCATGTAAGGGGTAGTTGCAACAAGTAACACTGTCACTGCCATGCATGAGCCTTCCTGTCAGACCTAAGAAAAGTTTGTATACCTTATGTCACTACCTGCAGGGTTTTCAATGGATATTTTGATTAACATAGACCCTGTTATCAAAGAGGGCTTGGTTGATCTATTCTCTTATGTAAATAAGAGAAGTACTGTATTACAGTACTATCCCTCAAAAGGAAGGTCAATGATGGAAATATAAAACATCTGAACAGGGTCTAACTCCCTCTGCCTCTCAGTCCTTTTATGGGTTAAGTACTAAGCATAAATCCCATATGGAACTTAGCTTTTCAACAAGAAAAGGATTTACAAGGTGAAGAGGCTCAAATAACCTTCCCCATTCAAGAAAACTAACATTTGGTAGTCTAATCCAAATGCAATTGGCCTATCTAAAAAAAAAAGAATCATGCTCTTTAAATTTCCTCAGAAAGGGTTTCTTCTGTCTGGACAGTTCCTATTTAAGTACTGTACAGGCATTCCTTGATTTATCAAAAGAATTTTATTCTTGAAAAACCTTCCATAACTCGATTTTTCATAAATTGGGTCACAGACTCCCATTGTAAAGCCAAGATATGTTCCTGCAAAAATAAAAACAAACAAAAATTGGTGTACACAATAATTATAAGCTAATAATAATGGGTTTGAATCCTGGTTCAGGACACACAAGGATAGGGCATTAATCAGCATAATTCTACCACTACCAATTATCACAGGTTTCCTCCTGTACTAACACTGGATAATAAAGTTCACAACAAAGAACAGATCAAACACCTGAAAACCTAGTAAGCTGCTAAGGGGTGAAATGACAAGTAATAAAAATAAAACTATATACTGCACTACATGAAATACATGCAGTGGAGGGCACAGAAGTTACTGTGCCACTGGTTGTGATGCAGTGCAAGACTGTAAGGCTCATTCAAGACATATGGTATTAAATTCAGTGACGTACCAACAGTAAATCTACTTCACTATATGAGTACATACAGAACAGCATATACATTCTGAAGTTTTGCTTTCACTGTTTTTTATTCTTATTGAAGTTTTATCTGAAAAAGAAATGCTAAACTTCTTCCTATAACTCCGTGTGTACAAGGGTCTCTGTGGTGAATAAAATCGTCAGGCATTAACCAAATAAAACATCAAGAATGAAGTGAAGGGGTTAATGGAGATAGTCTAATAGCCCCTTGTGTACTGGGGCCTCACTGTGCTGACTAAAACCACCCGATGTTAGCCAAATAAAATATCAAAAGTGGCATCCCCTTCCCTAAAGGGTTAACAATTTATTCTTTCCATTGACAGGAGATTGAACGTTAAATAAACACATCAGTCTTCCCATAGTCGTAACATCGTGTCAGTGTCTTACCACTACTTCATGTACTGATCCTGTGAGCCAGGATATTTAAAACAATATGTACGGTACTGTTCAGTCTCTCCTCGACTTACGACGGGGTTCCAGGTCATAAGTCGAAAAGGCGAAAATAATACATAGAAATTGTAAAATGGGTGTCTTTTTTCTTGTCAGCACCACGAGAACTCTCACTTTTATGCTTGCCAGTCATTTTAAAGGGAATTACAAACGAAAATTTTGTCAGTACACAGAGCAATCACTAGCGTCGGGACTCAAAAATACGTAATGTGACTGTACTGTATTTTATTACTAGCTTAGTTAACCACTCTTAATACAGTACAGCTCTAGGTTTCCTTTTGGTTTAAACTTCTTTAATAATTGACCAAGTCTCATACAGAAAACCCTGAGGTGCCTGTGTCAGCCCCTCAGCATCTTCAGATGCTGTAAAAGAATTATGAAAAACAAAAAGCAGTTTCGTTACTTAAGATTTTTCATACATAAATTGAAGCACGGGAAAAAAATATGTAACTGGATTTTCATACAGGCAATGTAGCTGCTCAGCACCTCTCACAGAGAAGTTCATTCAGAATCTTAAAACAAATGTCCTAAAACATATTAAAAAAATAATTTCTTGCCTCTGTGGAGTTCTCGGGTGGTTTAGAAGAACAGAAGAAATTTTTGGACCTAAAATGCTGAAGTTTGTATTACAGAGTAGCTCTTGGAAATTAAATGACAAAGTACTGCATGTTCTGCTTGTTACAGTACACCGGTATATAACTTGAAAGCATACCTTAAGCATGCAAAGAGCACTACAGTAGTACCTCATTTTTTAGAACTTAATACAAAAGCATAGACTTTTTCAATGACAGTTTGGAGTGAATTTTGTAGAGACCTCAACATCATCAGTTCAGCTTGCACCTCCTAAGTAAAGTTATAAAGCAAAATCGAATCACAGTACTGTACAGTACAGGTACATGTTTGCTTCAGGCATAATAGTCATCACACTACTTCTGGATGGAGCTACATGATTAAGACTCAGAATCCTCTAAGGCCATAATGTAAGGATGAATCTGTGTGTCATTTTGGCCTATTAAGGATAGGAGTCATAACCAGATCCCTTAATGTCTGTGTTCTAAGGGGATAAATGACATGATTGACTGCAAACATGATCTTGGTAAAACAGGTTCAATAGAAAGAGCCAATGCCCCATATTCAATTCTTTAAACTCTTATGTATCTTTTTCTTTTTAACCTGTCTTGACTATAGTTTACTCAGTCCCCAGGGTGACCTGGTTAATTAAATCAGGATGGTAGTATTATTAGCAGCATTTGTCTGCTAAGATTTGGTATCAAAGACTACAGTCATGACGCTTCAATCCCATAAAGCTAAAAAAAGGTGGCTTCTTAGGCTGAGACCTTTGTTTGACTCATCTGGCTTCTTCACAAGTACTGTACTGTATATAACAGTACAGTATATCCTTCTATACAACCATTTTGCTTCACGGTTAAGTTTCTAATCTCAGTGGTCTTGTGCACGTATATTAAAACATTTTACCTCAGTCCTGTACTGTATACAGTACATAAAATTTTTGGCAGATACAAAAACACTTTATCATGGGCATGCATGATATGAACTCACCTTGGACTGTTAAATTTTAATATAGTATATATCCCTAACTTTAATAAACAGCCTACATATTTGAAAAAAAAAGAACCAATTATGTAAATATTAACTGAAGATACAAAATCATTCGCTATGTAAAAGAATCACTGTTATTGCCATGTTTTCACTTTATTAAAGTTTAAACCAAATGCTTTTCCAATTTTTATTACCTGTACCCTGTATACATTTTGTTGCACATGCTTGTAGCCAACTTACTACTTCATTATACATATGCACTTATGCAGTATACTAATTTACTTTCAACAGTAACTGACACTATAATTTACTTTTTTTTTACAGGGATTAGCCCACCCGGGCACAGGTCACTGACCCACATCGGGGCCTAGGGGGCAAAAATTTAATCATAATAATAATAATAATTCATAGAAAATAAAATTTATAATAAAAAATAAAAAATTCAAAATAAAATAAATAATAACAATGATAATAATAATTATAACAACCATGTAGTAATAATAATAAAGAACCATAAAGAAATACAAAAATGAAAAAAATAAAATAAAGTGAGAAACAATATACTGTACTGTACTGGTATGTATGTTGTGTTGTGTTGTGTTGTCAATAGTACGAGAAACAATTGAGACCTTGCAATTGTGTGTAAATGAGGCAGAAAGTCAGATCAGCAACCTGGGACTTGGTCACAATTTTCATGATGCCATAAGGCAGCAGGGTCTACCATTAGACAATACATTATGCTTCCACTGTCTTCACCAGGCGGTAGTACCTCCCTGTTTGGTAGCTGCCTACTACATTACTTATGTATACCTGTATAAGGCTGGAGAAACTCAACACTGGGGACATATCCCTGGACTGTGACAATGGGTTCTACTACCAGGGTGACATAATAAGTGCTGGAGGTGGTGCAAGTCAATAATAGCTGTTAGAAGTATAGCTCTATTGACAGCAAGAGGGCCTTCTATTCATGTACAAGGAAAGAGGCATGGAAACGATATGAGAATTGTGATGTAAGGCAGTCAAATTTGGGTAGTTTACTGGCACGAATTTGCACAGAGGTAAGATGAGATGGTTCAGACGTGTGGGAGAGTGGAGGAGTTCAACTGGGTCAACAGATTCATGTGTTTGAATGTGAAGGGTAGGAAAGCTTAGGGGAGATCAAGAATGACATGGGGAAGGTAGCACAAAATGAACTCATAGATAAGAAACTTGCAAGAAACCATACAGCAAGAAGCTGCTATCAGGTTATCATGACTAACCCATGCAAGCTTGGGAAATTGCTGTAAAACTATGAGATTGATGATGAAAAATTTGTCTACCAAGGGGGAGGCTTGAAGAGACTTCTGAAGCCCAATAATGTATTCAGTCTTACAATATGATCACAAGAAAACCTGAATAAGCTCTGGAGTCTTGGACCAGACTCCATCTATGAGAAACAAAGCTCAGTTGTGCGATGTGTAATGTTAATACCTGTACCCAGTACACTCAGTAAAAAAATTATCTTTACAATTCTTTGCGAAACAAAATGACACCACTAACGAAGGCTTTTGATAAAGACCCATGAGGCATACCTCACATTGGTAGCCCTGCTTGTGGATTGTTCAATTCAAAATTCATTGGAGTCCTCATGAAAGCTACTTTTTTACAGAGTGTACATTGCATGGGTGCCAATATTAATTAATTACCAACTAGTCATTAAGCAATTGTAAACACTAGCAGCACATTAAATATATTTAATGCATCAGATTACACTACTCAATCTATCCTCAAATACTATAATTGTACAAATATACATGACTGAAGCATTCGGCTGCTGAAAACATGAAGCCAGCTGAAAGAAGACTGAAATTCAGTGAGGGCATGCACAGAAATACACTACAGTATAGCAGCAATGACACACACTAATGTCTAGACTTATGGGAATAGCTTCACCAATGCTACCCTTCTGTAGGGGTAAATAAATTAGACAAAATTCTATCTCCTGATTCCTATTTTACAGTTAATTTTTAAAGTATTGCCAAATCACAAGTGGTGGTTCTAAGAACCTCTGATGTGTAACTTGATGATGCAGCAGAAGTTGCCTTATCCCATGGAATATATTCCATTTCCTTGGCTCACAACCTTCCCCCTTTGAATTTTCCATTTCAACAAAGTAATAGTCAGATATTCCTTCTCTCTCTTTTATCTCGACACATTCACTTTATTCTACTTATTAACACTTTCAGCCATAATCCCTATTTCTGCATCCCTGGAGCCTAAGTTTTTGGAAGAATAAGCATTATAAAGTAATGTTAACAACAATCTTGGTTAGCAAATGTGCTGTTTCCTTAGGTGTACACCCACTAAAAAATTATTCAGCACCCGTGTCATATTGTATCATGCCATAAGGGTGCTGAATAATTTTTAGTGGGTGTACAGTAGTCTAAATTAGTAGTAGTAACAGGAGGTAGATTATTGGAAGTAAAGTACACCCAATAAAAAATTATTCGGCACCCTTACAGTGATACAATATGACACGGGTGCCAAATAATTTTTTAGTGGGTGTACAATAGTGTCCCACTGCTTTCTTAATATCTCCCAGTGCTGACAAGTTTTATTCTCTTGCTAAATTTCATATTCCCCGATACTGTATCACTACTGAATTTTGTGATGTTCAGTTCTTCTCACATCACCATACACTCACATCTCCCAGACATAAAGATATAAATCACTCTTGCAGTTACTTAGATGCACATCTGATCATGTCCTTCCTCTAAACACTTTTGAAGTGTATGTAAGATAACTGAGCAGCAGTGAAATTTCCAATGGTAAATTATTTTTAAAGTACTGATGACCTGGAAATATATGGCTAATGGTCAATCCAGAAAATTTAAAACATGGCAAAAAACATCAGTACTTGTCTCGGGACTGAAGAGGTTAACATTGTCTAACAATTCCCTACCTTCTCCATTCACTAACTGTAGAATTTATATATTAATTATACATGTAAACCCCACAATTGACCCTCTCTCAGCACACAGTTTGATCTATCCTCATTTTCGTTTATTCCTAGTTCTCTTAATTTCCCCACAAACAACTCTCACTTAATGTTTCAAAACACTTAGGTCTTCCCAGCACTCACTATTTCATTACATACTCTATACTGTACTGTTACGTTCCTACTCACTTCATTGTGGCCCAGCTCCTTTCACTCAATGAATCCTGTATATTCTCTCTCCACCCCACTTACTGTATCCAAGCATATTCAAATATCTCATTGCAGTTTGATTATTTTTAAAACTGAATACAATGTGGGATCACCAACTCCACATCCCATGAACTAGGACAGCGAACCGAGACCTGAGCAAATAACCTATTACAGTACAGTGAACCATCCCTATTTTTAAGTCTTAACATCTAAACCTTATTAATTTTAACCTCCTTCACTGTGTAACCTGCAAATACAACCACCTTAAAGCAAAGCTGACTACTGTATACGAGGTATCCCTCGTTTAGTGATATTTTGGTTCTAGCGATTTTCATTTTTAACACCCTTTGTTGTTTAACGATCATCAATTTTTGGTCAAGCGATCTTCGACAAACTGGGAAAAATTTGAGATGCTGGAAAAACTGGGGATTCCATGCTCCAAGTTCCAAATGTGCATCATTACAATACTGTAATGTGGCATAGAAATAAAGAAAATACTGTATACACTAAGAAATAAATGTAACACTTACATTGCGATGTGAGCTGATAATATGTAGACGAGATTCCGAAAGTGTTATGGACACACAAGTAAATGAAGCAAAAACAGGCATAGAATAACAGAATCAGATCACATGACCTCTCTCCTCAGTTGAGGTATGGTGGAGATTAGGGAGAATCTTGATGACAGTATTCAGGACCAGGTCACGTGTGTGGGCAATCCGTAGGTGGGCCAAAGCAGTCTCTCAGCAGCATGACAGTTCCTGATATCCCCAGGTACCCAAAGCAGAGTGGATGCCATGAAGCTTGTTTGTTCTGACAGCATTCCAAACTTGAGTGGATGGCAGCTTACTACCAGCTTCATATTAGAGGCAGGTAGAGGGGAATGATGTGCCATAGTGCAGGAAGCCACTGCTTTTGGCACAGTATTGGCATGTTCATTCCCATTTTCCCCCACATGGGCCGGAACCCAGCAAAGACCGACGTTCCGGCCCTCACATTGAACGAGGAACAGTCACTCTAGAATAGCTATAACCAAGGGATGGGGCAATGAGACACTAGCTAAGGGCTGGAGTGCAACGCGAGAATCGCCAAAATGTTTAAAATCTTCATGAGGTAGAGTAAAAATAATCTTGCAGGGAAGTAAAATACCTGAAAGCTCTGCCATAAAAATAGATGGCACAGCGGGGAGACTACTGTCTCAACAGACGTCGGGAAAGACTACCCCAAAACCCACCCCTGCATCCGACTTAAAGAGTCGTCAGTGTAAATAGGGATAGTACCTCTGCAAGTAGAGGCATGCTCTAAAAAGAAGAAAACAAACCACACAGGGTAGGAGCAAGTCCTTTATTTTGTTAAAATACTGACAAACTTGAACTTCAGGCAGAATCCATGGAGCGACACTAGGAAACCGTATGGGGTATACCTGAACAGGAGGATGACAAAGAAGACTCACAACCTCCCTTACCCTGAAACCAAAAGATCGTGGGAGGCTTGGTGTGTGGGGAGTCTCGTCAACTACACAAGTGTTGGTCACAGACTGCGGAAGGCGAAACCAACACAGGACCTGGACTTGAAGTTCAAGGGGTGGCTCATCAGCATCCACCAATAGACTTGGGATTGGCGTGGACCTGAAGGCACCAGTTGCCAGGTGCACCCCAGCATGATGAATAGAGTTCAGTAGCTGAGGAGTACACCTCACACCCATAATCCAGCTTGGGTCTAACTAGCATTGTGGTATAGGTGTAGCAGAATTCCTTGATCAACATCCCACGACATGTGCCCCAAGACTTTCAGTAACTTGAGAACAAGCTGGCAAGACTTTTTGAGGTAACAAATATGTGGCTGCCACATAAGCAGGTTGTCAAAGATAATGCTCAGGAAATGGATATCTGTGACACACTGCCACCATAGAGCTGTATATCGGGATCTGGGTGAACACCTTGGAGGCCGCAGAAATGTAGGGCAACAGACAAGGGAGAAAATCTGGAACCTTGGTCAGTGGTCCAATGAGAAACCTTGTCTAGTGCAAGTTGCATGAAACATTCAGCCACTGACATGTGGGAAGCTACATATCAAATGGCCAAGTCATCTACATACAATCAGACTGATACACCACCTGTAACCGATGCTGATCCTTTCACTTAGCGATCGTTTTTTCATGAACGCACCCCGATCACTAAACGGGGGATACCTTTATACTGTATTCCCATGTGAAACTTAAAAAGTTGTATACTACCTTGCGAGACATGAAATGTACCATCAAAATAGTGTTTCAATCATACGTGTATTTGATAATCCTATTTTAAAGGCAAATAAAAGAGTGAGTGACTTTTTTCTTTATTCAAAAACCATTTAGACTCTGGAGGGGTACATCATCTGAAAATAAAAGATAATGCTTAATCCAAGGGAAATTACAGGATTTCAAGGCTATTGCCCGAAGGTTTAATATTTTATTAGTATTTCCCAATGATAATGCATAATTCAATATTACAGCAGTAATATAGATGTCATGCTATTCTATTCCCACCTTCCTCAACAATCCCCAATTATTCACCTGGTTCTGTACTCAAAACAATAAATACTTGATTCACTCTCAACACCCACCAACCACAAGTAAAACACACACCCATTGGCCACAAAAAGAAAGGAAATATTGTTAAACCATGCTAGAAAGCTTATGCAGGTTGACAATCCCTTATCCGAAATCCTTGGGGCCAGAGGCATTTCGGATTTTGGAATTTTTCGGTTTTCAGATTTTTTTTAATGTGTATTAGCCCACCCGGGCACAAGTCACTGACCCACATTGGGGCCTGGAAGGCGAAAAAAAAAAAAAAATAAATAATAATAATTCATAGGTCTAGGTCGTGTTTCTCACTTTTTATCTTTTTTTATTCTAGTATTTCTTTATTATTATTATTATTTTATTAATACAGTATTATTGTTATTATTATTAATTTTATTATTATATTTTCTTATTATTATTCTTTTATTTTGGTGTATTTTTTTATTAACATTTTTATTTACTATGAATAATTATTATTATTATAATTAGTATTACTATTATATTTTTGCCCCCCAGGCCCCTATGTGGGTCAGTGATCTATGCCTGGGTGGGCTAATCCCTGTTATAAAAAAAAAAAAAAAAAGCTCCACAAAAAACTTTCGGTTTTTGGATAAAGGGTTGTCAACCTGTATATATAATGCTAGAAAACTGTATTTTTCTACAATGGATACATAATGCACAATCCTCCTATACTCAAGTGGGATGGAAGGATGGATAAATGCATAAACATATTGACTGCTATATATTTAAATGACCCTCCGCAAGATCAGTGGATGCATATAAAGGGGTTTAAACAAATCAATATTCCAACATAGATCATTTTATGCAATATATGTGGTACAAATGTGATCAATATCCATGTAACCAGTCTTCACATACTTTGTACACAAGAATTTGTTTGGACAGAGTATCTTTATGGCCTATAAAAATGAATCAGAAGCAACATATCCTATGTAGTAATTGTGGTATAAGAGTTCAGCCAGAATCCAGTCAGTCATATGATATTGTATAGCCAGTTAAAAACACTACCACAAACCTGTGGGCCAGCCAATATGATGGCTGTTTCACAGAGGGCACAATAAGTTATTTTTTTACAGTGTATCATAAAAAAGGTGTTCAATAAATATTTAAATCAGCTTCAACTTATGATATTGAAGTGTTGTCAAACCTAGAAACTTGATAGTATCATGCATGACCACATAAAAATATTAATTGACTTTCGTGTGTCATAGATCAATATAAGAGTTTGCACAGGAAGCTTCCAGACAGTACCAGAGCATGGGTGCAGTGTTCCACTATCCAACAATTTCCTCCCATAAACCGTGCTGGTAGGTCACGTTTATCTCTATCTCCTCTCCCAACCTCCCCACTATTAGCCATAAAAAAATTCCAAAGCCACCATTGGAAAGGTCATATACGTAATTCCACTTACTAGGTAGGTTTGTGAGAAAATTTCTGAGACATGCTGGGTAAACAAATATTTTTGTTCTCCCGAAGTAAAACCAAGACAATAACGAAGCCAGTCATGTTTGAATCACAGAAAAACAATAATTTTTGTCATGGTCACAGAAACTTAGAAACTTGTTGCACGTGCAAGAGGGTTAAAATTTAACAGGTTGGACTGCAGTGACATACTTTACTGGGAACCCAAACAGCTGGGTTTCCAAATTCAATCCTTAGCTTCTTTAATAAAAGAGGATATGTAGGAAACATCAATTAATGGTATATCTCCTACCCTTTAGTATTTCCAAAATGGAATAACTGAAGTATTCCGATAACAATGAATAGTACTTACAATTCTGATTCTCCTTCCCATGGCATATGCAGGTAGGGCACGGCAAAACTTGGCGCGCAGAGCCCCAGAGTTGCCATGAGTGCGAGTAACCTTACCCCAGATCACACGCATCTTCGATTTGCCACCACTTGGGCAGGGGGTCTTGTTTTTGCACTAAAACACATGAAATTAATTAAAATTTTGTCATTCAAACTTTAAGATTATTTTGGAATTTAAAGGCTAAAGGGAAATAGAAGATACACAATCCTTAACATGCAATATGAATAAATACATAATATGCCTTTTACCAGCTCAAGGAAATCTAGCAGTTCTATGGACAAAAAAATACATCCCATATTAGTCAGAAACACACCTCAAAAATTGTTCTAGTCACCTTACCTTGTAAACATAGGCACAACGCTTTCCAATGTAGTAAGTGCCATCTTCCTTGTTCTTGGCACCCTCGACCTTCAGCAGAGCAGTGTTCTCATGTTGTGCACGCAGACCACGCTTGTATCCAGTGAAAACGGCCTTTGAGTAAAGCCTGCAAGAGGTATAGTAACCTTAGAAACACAAGGATATTTTTTTTAAATAGTGGTTGTTACAAAATCATACTAACAGAAGAAGTACCTTTACCTTATGGTTCCTGCCAGGTGAGCCACCCGTCTCCCAATTATATAACAAGTACTGTACAGTATACAAAAATGCACCATTGATTTTATTCAAAGAGTAGAGTAAATTACAGTAATAGAGTAGACTTATCACTAGAAGTTTATAGAATTGGTCAATTTCCCAGAGATGATGTCTGGATAATAGTAATAAAAAATATACAACCCTTTCCTTCATCTTTGTCTTGCTCCAGCCTTCAATCATAAATTACTTGTTAGTGGGCAAGGCAGTAATGAACAGGGAAATTACAGGGTAAAAACACAGCTAACACTTATCACATAGCAGTAATTTAATATCTATATGTGCTTTGTAGGCAATGAAATTAACTATTTACTGTAAATATGAGGGCGTCAAAGTTACAGTGGTCAACCATGTTGCTGGTCCAATCTTAAATAAAAGCAAGTGAATCTGGTATTTGTCAATACTGTATGTAAAAGAACTGGAGGAGGATCTCATCAGGGGTTTGTTATACCTTAATTAATGGCTTGCTTGTGTTCTGTTTCTTATTTTAGAAGATTCAGTTTCCAATTTCTTAAGTCTATGTACACGCGTCCCTCATTTAATGACGGGATTGTTTCTGAAAACCCAACGTTAAGCAAAATTATCACTAAACAAGGGATAACAACAAAGCACAAGACCAAACAACAGGTTCAAACTGTACTCCCTAACAATTACAATAAAAGTCAAGTTTGTTATATACGGTTTCATAGTTAAACGATTCATTAACGCCAAACTTCTATAAAAGTGATGTGGTTCAGAGTTAAACTTTAGTGAGCAAAACGTAAACCTAATTTGAACACACCCAAAACGAATAAAAATTGCTATGATAAATAGCATATCATAAAATACAACAGCACACATTTTGTATACAAGACATAGTTCCTTTCACTCAAACCATCCTCTGGGCAAAGCAACACGGTTCAGTCAGGCAGCCACCCAGCTGATCTTTACCCTAACAAGTAAACTATTACAAGATAATCTAGCCCACTTACACATTTTCCAAATAAGCAATGGACGATTTAACCAAACCAATTATGATGTGGTATATCTCGACTTTAGCAAAGCCTTCGACAGAGTTCCCCACGAAAGACTAATTAGAAAGGTAGAAGCTCATGGCATCAAAGGTGACATCCTTAGATGGATTAGGGAGTGGTTACAGGACAGGAAACAGCGAGTGAGCATTAACGGCACTAAGTCCCATTGGAGCAACGTCACAAGTGGAGTTCCCCAAGGCTCAGTACTTGGACCATTATTATTTATTATATACATAAACGACATAGATATCGGCATTGACAGCAACATAAGTATATTTGCTGATGACACTAAAATAGGACTTGTAATTGAATCTGACGAGAACTCGGCAAAACTACAGGAAGATGTAAACAAAATTTTCGAATGGTCTGAAAAATGGCAGATGAAATTCAATGTGGACAAATGTAAAGTACTCAGTATAGGAGATGTAAACAGGGAAACCAGATACCAGATGAACAACGATGTCATTGAGAAATCCGACTGCGAGAGAGATTTAGGAGTAATGATAAGTAGAAATCTTAAGCCAAGTAAACAATGTGTTTTTGTTCGAAACAAGGCTAATGAAGTACTTGGGTTCATACAAAGGAGTGTTAATTACAAGACTAGCAAGGTCATCTTAAGACTCTATCTTGCGCTTGTGAGACCACACCTGGACTACGCAGTTTAATTCTGGTCACCGTTTTACAGAATGGATATAGAATCCTTGGAAAAAATTCAGAGGAGAATGACAAGACTAATCCCGGGCATTAGGAACCTTGAGTATAGAGACAGGTTAAAGCATCTTAATTTGCTCTCCCTCGAGAGACGTAGAGCGAGGGGCGACATGGTAGAGGTGTATAAATGGAAGTCATGGCTAAACAAAGGGGACATTACAAAGGTACTCAAACTATCCAACCAGGAGCGAACTCGTAACAATGGTTTTAAATTAGACAAATTTAGATTTAGGCGCGAAATAGGTAAACACTGGTTTGGAAACAGAGTAGTGGATGAATGGAACAAGTTACCAAATATCATCATTAACTTGAATACGCTGATGCTTCAAACATAGGTTGGATGCTTATATGAGCAACAGAGGTTGGGTGTAAACGGGACTGCCCAGTATGGGCCAATAGGCCCGCTGCAGTTTCCTCCATTCTTATGTACACAGGATGGTAAAAGTCACAATAAGATTGGTTTTACTGACATTCACATTTCCTATATAGAGTTAATATTTTGCCATTTAGACTTAAAATACAGGTTATGTTACCTTTCAACATTCTTGGATAGTCATTATTTTGGAGGCAATATCAAAAGTTGAAATATTTACCATAAATAACGGTACACCTCCGGAAATATTGCCAAGTCGCCTCATGTCGTTAGATAAGGTAGGTTTCTTTACATTAGTTAGTTAGTTTTATATGTCTTTGACATGTAAAATCATCATTTCCTTGAATACACCGATTTCCCAAGGAAATCAAGTCATATTTGAGAAAACACCAAAATACACCAGAAAAATAGGTTTTCAAGTAAACAAACATGAACATCACTAAAACCAATAAATACCAAAATCACATACATCAGACATAGTGGATATTTTGCCATGACCAGCTAAGTTTCTACTAGGTAGGTTTCTTTGGTTGGTTAGGTCAGGTTCTAGTAAATGTTGCCTCTTTACAATGATAAGTTTCCATGCACAACAGAGACATGGTTAGGTATATTTATAGCTACACAACGATCAACACGGCAAAATAAATGTCAAATGCCGCCAGAATGACGATCACATATAGTTCTCGCATTGTTCGCCAAACAAGAGTGCACTCATGGTAAAATAGCACCGTGAGGAATTTAGCCAGTCACAGCAAAATATCCACTGCCTTTTTCAGACGTGAATCATACATATGGGAAGACATTAAAATTAATTTCTTCTTATTACCACCATGCTATTGTACTATTCCAGATGATACTAAATGTTACATAATACTTCCTTGAGATAAATGTAAAGAATATATCAGGTGCCTAAAAGAGAGCTCAGGTTCTCAACTGGCTCAGCCATGTTAATATTATTATTATCCACTGTATTTGTGTTTTTCTGGCTAAATAAACTGTTTCAATTCAAGTTACAACAAACCAATATAAAAGGACAAAACCAAACCTATAAGTGGATATTCCCCGTTCCTTGCTTTAACACGAGTGACCACCTGATCATACCGTGGGTCTGATTTAACAGTACCCAAAAACATATTACTACGGCCATAATTAACCAGGTGTTGATGGCCAGCAAATATATGACAGGAAGCAAGCAAGAATAAGCCAATAAGTGGCGAAAATGATATGTTCCATGACCCATTCAGTCAACAACGATCCCAACTACTAAAGATCTAAGTTGATGGATGTATAACCTAAATATTACATTAAAGTATACATAGCAAAATAGTAACAGTGATTCGTGTGTTCTTACCTTCCAGACCGAATGATTTTCTTCGCCATATTCCTGCAAGAAATAAAAGAACCTTATTAGACACAACACACAGTACCTTCAGCGTTTACCATTTTTATCTCAAAACATCTATTACATTCTACAATATTATATGCCATTAATTATCACACTGTATTTACCGATTCTTCAATATTGTATAGGAGTACTCAAAATGTCCAGATATATACCAGAAAATGACTTAAACTGTACTTTTTAATGTTGTTGCCAGCGCCTCAACACGCCTCGGCCACCAGTGTTTAACCAAGAGAGAGAGAGAGCGGGTCATCATCTTTTGTCTTTTACCTAAATACCTCAATATTTACATAGTTTTATTGATAAGTAACTTAATACCATGTAAGAGTTTAAATTTAAATGAATATACTATGAATAATTACTATAAATATTGATGTGTTTATTCTTAGTTTTCCAAAAGATGTATGGACCAAAAACTGCTATAAGTAGCACATCCACCTTGGTATTTTTGTTACTCTCTTTATTGTGTATAGTCCCAATAGACGTAGATATTCAAATAATCACGAATTAAATTATTTATGGTAAATTACTAATATCATGAACAATATCAAATACATATGTGTCGACAAAAATGTTATTAGTGTCCATCTTATTGTTGTGTAGCGACAAGAGCTAACCTTAGCGTCAACAAACCCAAGCTCGGGAGATGTCAGAGGAGAGTCAGGTCCCACCGTCTTTTCCAGCAGATTCAATTAAAGTGGTCGCAGAAAGCATAGGCATCAATGGGATAGGTGATGATGTTGCCAAGGAACTTTCAGAAGATGCCACCTTCAGGTTAAAGGTTTTAATACAGGTAATAACCCGCCCTTTATCTGGCTCGCAGTTTGTTGGCCTTCAGTGTTAGTCCATGATGAACCTGGATTAATTTATATGACGGTTTTACTAAATAAATGTCCGTAATCTAGCCAAGTTAACAGCAAGTGGATTTCAACCAACAGAAAGCCTTATCAAAAAATATCTTAGTAATTGTATAGGACAGTGTACTGACCAACACCCTTCATGCCTTAACTACTTATTGCTTGAAATTTCACTATAGAACGTACGGTAAATGTATTCTATGTAGGAGTTATAAATTTTCTAATAACTTTTGACATGGGCATAACCACTGTTGCAGGATGGGATGAAGTACATGCACCATGGGAAGCGGAAGCGGTTCTGTACTGCTGATTTTGACCACGTATTGAAGATGAAAAATATTGAAGTAAGTTTGTCAAGTATCTTATGTATTTTGGTAAATATTTTTCCTAATAGTTCAGTACCTCTCTTGATAGCTTCTTGATGTCATGGTTTTACATTCCGTTAGACTTATATTTCCCTCAACAAAATCATAAAATCCGATTTAGTTTTCTTACCCAGATCATAATTTCCCACTGAATTGATGTAGAACATTAATAATCATAGTTTATCACCAACGTTATACAATAGTTTTTTATTAAGAATTATATTGTACCTTTAAAATTCTACATTTGCTTTGAAATTATAGTACAGCTTGTACTGCATTCAGTACCAGTAGTTTATGTGGTGTGGTTAATCATCCCAGTTATAATGTACCAATACTGTATAGATTTTGAATTGCTGTAAAAACCATATGATTACATTAAAACACTCCTCAGCCTTTGATGGTAACTAATGACACACTTTTTAGGGCTACTGTAGGGTGACAGTCAGGAAGAAATAACTAATTTTCTAAAGGCAGACTGTTCCATAGGGCATGTCAATTTTGAATAGGTTATGTAAAAATGAAAAGCCTTTTTCACAGTGCTCTGTTGTACTGCATAATTCAAGGAGCTCTGATATAAGAGAAAACATTTTTCATTTTTGGAAGATGCTCAGTATAAATACTTAAATTTTTTCTCTAGTTAGTTTTATATATACTGAACTGTATAGCAAGACAGATGGTGTGACTGTAGGCATGTGACAAGATATGGTGTTAGCGTGAATAATTGAATTTTTCGGCACAAAAGTACATGGAGAGAAGACTTGATAAATTAGCTGGATGAAAAGTACAAGATGGAAATTTTAGTGCCGGTGAATAGTTATGTACAACTGATAAATAAAAGATACAATTTCATGATTACCTTTCCTGTGTTCTTTGCAGCCTCTGTATGGCCTACAGTCTGTGGAACACATCCCCTTCCGGTTTGCATCTGGAGGTGGGCTGAGCTACACTTTTTAGAGGACAAAGAAATTGAAATCAATGAAGTGGTATCATCACAGACGCCTCGACTACCCTTGCAAACGACCATAAAACGTACTTGTCATCTCATAGATTTGGTATACCTGTATATACTGTTTACAAATTCTGCTGTGGATTAATATTTAATTTACTCGAGTTATAATTAGGGAAACATTTTCTTATGCTTGAGCCAGATCACCTTGTTGTACAGTACTTATTTTTGTTGAACTTGGCTCACAGTAGCTTGCCTTTCCATGACAGAGCCTTTGTGTCAGTTGTAGCACACTCAAAACAAAATTGGTCAGTACACGGCACTTAAAATTTCCTCTCGGGATCATGCTGCCCGAGATCACCACATGATTATAAGCCAGTTGTGCCATTAAGGAAAACGATTTAAAGTTAGGCAGAAAGGAGGTTCTGTTGCCATTTGAGAAAAGTTTTCAGACATTTGTATTATGAAATGAGTTGTATCATTAAGCAAGAGGATAATAAGTGAGTGCCACTGAATTTATGATATACTACAGTTAAGTTTTATTGGTTTGACTATTGAGTGTATGTTGTGTCATTAAACTTTTATTGTATTTTTTTTATTAATTTTTCAGCCCATTGGTTAGCCATTGATGGGGTTCAACCAACCATCCCAGAAAACCCTCCACCAATCACCAAAGCCATTCAGAAGAAAGACTCAGTGGACCCAGCAGCCAAGCTCCTGGCACAGCAAGACAACAAGGATCAAAAGCACATCCATGGGTAAGGATAAGATTTGAATTTCCTTTTCTTTTAATAGAAAATTGCTGAAAATATTCTCTTATGTTATTATGATGCACCTTCTTTTGTTGAGCTCATACAGTACAGGTCATGGTCTTCTATTAAAAAACCTTGGGGCCAATTACATGTCAGTTTTGGATGCCTAGGCCTACTTACATAACAGTAGTAAGCTGATACAAGCATGGATCTAGACCTCAAAGTTGGTTAGTTTGACGCATATTTTGTGGGATATATCCAAAGAGAGTTGTTAGTGAATAAGCTGTTCCCTCATTATTTTCACATCATGATTCCAGCTAACTTGTTCTTTCTTCTCAGACGTGGCATGAAGAGTATCGAGACTGTGAAGGTGAAACAGTTGGCTACTCATGAACTTTCAGCAGAACAGCAACTATATTACAAGGAGATCACGGAAGCTTGTGTCGGATCAGATGAACCTAAAAGAGGGGTGAGGAAATTTCTTGCTTTATTACATACTGCAGTAACTCTTGTGGGTAGTATGCACTAAAAGTAGAGTTGACATCCAGGAAGCAGCACTGTCCAAGAGAGCAAAGAGCATGAAATGGAGTGGGCTTTTTTTTGCTTTGGAAGGTTGTGCTGTGCCTGGGTAATTTTGTCTATGTGAAGTGAAGGGCAAATTAGTTTTAAGGGTTTTTTTTACAAGAATACATCTATTATAGTAACAGGGTGGAGTAACAACAAGAATGATGGAACAACATATCTGAATATTTGTTTTTGTTTCTGATCACACTTCATTAAGTGGAAAGGCTTGAAACGATTAAAAAAAATGTAGGGAAGATATAGTTTTAGGACTTGTTCATAGCATGTATTATTCATTTCAGGAAGCCCTTCACAGTTTGGCATTCGACCCTGGTCTCCACCAAATGGTACCTCGACTCTGCACCTTCATTGCTGAAGGCATTGATACTCGTCGTTCAGAAGAATTTGGCACTTCTTATTTACTTAATGAGAATGGCAAAGGCTCTCCTTGATAATCAAACACTGTACCTGGAAAAATATGTAAGCTGAATTTTTCATTGGTTTCACTGTACTTAATGCCTTTAACTTTCATGGTTTGGGATTCAAGTCTTGTCTTCCATTTGTGAATTTCTTTAGCCTCAAGGATACACACTGTAGGTGCAATTATGACTGACATTTGTAGTATCTGCCTTTGGGTAAGCAGGGCTTATTTCCATGGAATAGAAATAAGGCAGTGATAGAATATACTGAATATATTATGATAATTTTTTGTCAGGAATTAGAAATGTTATCTTCATAATTAATTGTAGCATTACAGGTAACTCGTATTTTACGCGTGTTTGATTTAAGCATTTTTGGAATAACACGATTGTTCAATAAATACCCAGCTAATTTAATTTACGCGCACCTATTTTTAAAATAACGCGACCAAGACAGTTTAAATTTTCGCGCTGTTTAGAGCTAGAGTTATGCCTGGTGATGTTTTAAGTTATTATACTAAAAATTAGCTCATATCAACATGAACGATTTTAATATTATTAATACATAATAATTATTATTTTAATGTAATAATAAAGATTACGAACTAATGATGAAGATAATGATAATGAACTATTCTGTACAACAACTGTGACAACGCCCAGGCTTCCCATGTATCGCTTTCAGTTCACACCAGCACTATTTTTCTCTGTGCTCATTTGCATTGTGTGTATCACAGACTTTTTAGTGTTAAACGCTGTTTTCCCCATTGAGCATGTTCGAAAGCGTCCATCTGCCTCCTCTGGGGCCTGAAGCTGAAAAGGCACAAAAACAATCGCAATGGACGGAAATTAGCGCACGCCTTCAGAGAGGAGAGTGAGTGTCGGAGGTTGGCCGCGTGTTGTTTTATGGAGAGCACTGTTCGCCTCTGTGTGTATATGATGGTTCCCCTAACCTGCACCATTTACATGTATTCTTATGGGAAAATTATGTTTAATTTACGCGTTTTTTAATTAAACGGTGGTTCCAAGAACGTAAAACGAGAGGTGGGTATACACAGTCTCTAAAGGTTTTTTTTTCATGATTATCACCACCATTACAGATGCATGAACTTGTTCCCTGGTGACACATGCATCGAAGTCGTCAATCAGAAGGCCCGACATGGACAACCACTGGGCACTGAGAGATTTTGCTGCCCGTCTCATCTCACAAATTTGCAAAAATTATAAACACCACAACAAATGGCCTGCAGACACGCATCACAAGAGTCTTTTCAAGATGCCTAAACACAGACAGAACACCATTGTCATCTGTCTATGGTGCTGTTGCAGGTGGGTCAGCCATTTTTTATTTGTACAGTATACAGTAATTATTATGAAACCCCTATTCAATGCGCACACACCTGGAGTGAATCAACCGAGAGCATCTCACAAAATATTAACAGATTGAGACCTTTGTCTTTTATAAAATTACTGTGTTATAAAACTATACCTGAATATATATATTTTAAGTTTCATCTGTGGTGGTACTCTATTCACCAGGAACTTACTCACTTATACCTGTACTATCCAAATCTGCCATTTATATGCCTTATTTATCAAAAGTTGGGGTCCACCACCTCTTTTGGCAGGATGTTCCCAAATAAACATCAGCACTTGTTACTTGTCAAATTTAGGTTGAGACAACACATGAGTATCAGGAACTAAATTGAACCAGGAGGTCAAAGCTTAGAAATTCATGATCATCTGAATGATCCAGTAACTGCTTAAAATGACTCTGGAGGGTCTTTGAGGAGAATGGTTGGGTCAAGGTAATGATCTTGCTCGAGAACCACAAAGGTTGAGCGAGACCCATATCAGCTGTATTGACCTTCAGTAGGTACAGTTTCATGTGTACCTCCATTACTCTTCCACACATTAAAAAATCTCTTTTATGACAGGTTTGTCGGAACTTGGTCCTGAAGTTACTAAGGTGTTTGTTTTGCCAAAATTAAAGGCTCTAAGTGACAAGATCGAGCAGTGCATGGAAGGAATGAATGCAGACGACAAGAATGCCGCTTCCCACATCAAGGGCCTGTTGCTGGTAAGCTCATAGTACTGTATTGTACTTTTTTTTTAATTTTATTCGTGATACTGAATGTGATGTTACACCATATTACCGACAACTACAATTTTATGTGAACACGCGGTATTTACAGATATTAGCACATTTTTGTACACCTCCCCCCTCCCATCACTCGGTGCCACACAAAGCACATGCCCCTAGGATGTGAGTTTTGAAAGATGGTATTCCATGATTGCTCCATTAGTCTAGGAAGTGGAAATTTGAACACAACAGTGATAAAGTGCATTGGCATTTTAACTCACATTTTATTATACTGTAGGCATGACATGTGGGTGTAATATGAACATTCCTTCCACGATCTGATCTACAGTACGTTTATTTTCATTTATTTCAAATCATGTGAAGCTTTAGAACATAGCGAAGATATTATCATCCACAGAAAACTGTTGCACCAGTCCCCAAACACTGCGCAACCCTCCAGATACTGTGGCAGATTATAAAGCTGAGTATGGCTATCTGGGTCCACAGTTGCAGGTGGCTGTAGTCAAGGCACGGCAGGCTCCACCTCCCACTGCCACCACTCACTGCACCCATCAGAGCCATCACACCTACCACAACACGCATTATACAACAAGGTCAGAACTAATCTTTTGTCAGATTTTGAAGTTAATTAATTTTATAGCTAGTTCTGTAGTCACCCTCTGTGCCTCCTTAGATGTGTAGTAACTTTGTTTTCTAATTAATCCTTAAGCCTCTCCTTACTGCATGGCCAACCTGTTATATGCATGTGTAATGGCAACAATATATGTTACATAGAGTTATTAGAGCTTGGTGTAAGTAAGGAGTTGAGGGAGTGTGTGTTTTGACACTTATAAAAATAAAATTATCATCTTGTTACGGTGTCAATGAAATATGAGCGAGGGCTTTTACATTAACACAAACTCAGTTGTGTGATCTCCATATTCACACCTTAAGTTTGTATTATCTGTCCGTTTTATATTTAAATGTCTTTTGTGTTGATCAAGAGGACACGTTAAGTTCCTCCCCAAACATTATAATAACTAGTCATCCCCCAGCAAACTGTAAGACCTTAAATGAGTGTAAATGATAATTGACACAAATAAATAAGATTACAGATGACATTGAAAAATAGTGGCAAAATTAAGTAAAGAATGTACAGTGAGGTAAACAGAAATATAAGGGATGTTTCTTTTGAAGGAGTGTTTCTTAGTAAAGTTTATAGTGAAGGACCACATATTCTGCTGTGGGTGGGTCCCAATGAAAAAAAAATCAACTTAATATCAAGTAGTAGTTTGCTACTACAGGTACTTGAACAAAATATCCTTCACAAACAAAGGTTCACTCCTTCCCAATCTAAAGCAGTATTGGTCCGGGATAAGATAAAACAGCGCACCTATACCAGACTACAGTCAGGGTAAGTCAGTTCGGAGACTCATTCCTGTGACTTGGTCTCACCCTGAGGGAGATGAACTTTTGTTCACAGCGGTACAATAAGGTAGGTAAGAAGAAAAAGCCATAGCATTTGGTTATTCTTCCATCCAAAGTTCAATCTAATAGTGTCTGCTTCCACCTCATCCAGTCTAGTGATTTGGCAAGAGCTCATCAAGGTAAGTCCAAACAATGGTTGCATAGTGATAGGGAGCTCCATCTTGCTGAAAGAGCAGTGTTGAGAATGCCATCAGAATGAAGGTGAGGCTCTAGAAATAAGCTGAAGCTTATCAAGATAAACTAACCCTGATACCATAGCTTTTGCCAAGAAAAAGATTTGCAGACACTGATAGTGTTCATGTTGAATTTCAGACCTAAGCTCATTAATAAATATACATATGATTACGTTTATTATTTCATTTTCGTCCTGAATGACTTTTTTCCAATACAAATAGACGGACTTAGGACAACTCTGTATAAGAGACACTATGCTCAAGCACAACACCTCAACAAATCAACCGCTCTTGCAATATCATTTGTAATTATTTGGATAATGACCGTCCATTGTTATTCATTAAGAATTGGTTTAAAAATACCCATTTTTCAAATATTTTATTAGAGGATACTGCATTATGTTGTGAAAAAATATAAAAATGGCTGAAATCATGTGCTTACCTAACCAAATATAAGAAAACCTAACCTATATCTTTACTCTCCTGTATCTAGAAAACTAAGCATTTGCCCAAGAAAATGAATGGAAGTGAAAGTAACCAGCATACAAAACTGTGAAAACACACCATAATAACCAAACCGCTGACCGTCACCAATCGTATATTAGCCCCATCGTCTTCCACAAAGACAGGATAGTATAAAGGAACAACAGTTTACCACTACTGTACACAGATAACCCAAACAACCTACACTGCTCCCCATGATACAAAAATGTAAACTTTGATCCTTAACTATAGTATTGTACATCCTCAGTCAATAGTCTACAACCAAATCTCATTTTATAGTTCCTGCCACCAATTATCTACCCTATATGGAAAACTGAGAATGTAACCTCTGAGAATGTTCTACAGCCACCACTCCTCCCTCGATCACTAAAGACATGGTATCCAATTCACCAAATGTCCTTTCTAGAATTTAGATTTTTTATTTTTTATCTCTCCAATTCAACTTCCTGGCTTCTAGTAACATTGACCCCCAGGACAGTTATAAGATTTATAACTGAAAATGGATTGGGGAACCCATTTACTCTATCTCCTCCCAAGGGTGTATTACTAAACATCAGGCATTGATGCACAGGTTGTTGTTCTGGTGGCTTGTAACTGAACAGGTGACTGGCAGGATTCACACTACTGAAGTGGTTATGACCCAAATCCCTGTTCTAAACAGCAGCTTCGCTTCAATCACATAAAATCCTTTCCAGTAGCAAGTTACAGGAAGGTATACAGTACAGTGGATTCGCAATAATTCACCAAACACAAATCCGAGTTCTTAAACTTACGGGTGCCTTTATTACTACCTCTTTGTTGAATTTAGCTGTCAAATCTTCATAATTTGCAGCTTAACGTTGGCTGCCACAGTGTTTATTTACGTAACAGACCATAAAAGTTGTGGAAATTATATTTCATTGCCCTAATATAACTTAGGAAAAAATATATACACCTAGACCCCGACTTATTACTACGTGGACTTACGACCGTCGGGACTTGCGACCGCCTCAGATATAGATGAAAAAAAAAAATTTCAAATGACACACGCATTTTCTATACCGAAACGTTTCCAGTTAATGTAGTCTCCATGTATAATTAGAAAATTATGGGGCCCATGTGCATTCAGCTGACTACATTAAAGGTTAAGTGCTCAGTCACACTGTATCCATTCCTTATTATTTACTACTTTCACTGTACTGTATCCATTCATCATTATTCATTACTTTTACTGTACTGTATTTCATTGTAGATTTTTATTAAAAAAAAAAATTTTTTTTTTTTTTTTTTTATCTTTGTCGGACTTACGACCTGATTTGGGTCCTAACCCCGTCGTAAAGTCAGTATATATATATATATATATATATATATATATATATATATATATATATATATATATATATATATATATATATACAATATGGTCCTCGTTAACTAACACAATTGTTCCAGAAAGTCATTCGTTAACAGAAAATTCTAACAACCATTGTTTCAAAGATTGGTTCCAGCTCACCGAAAATTACATACAAACTAATAATAAATGCAGAAGGCCCTGGTTGATGATGATGATGATTGGAATTAGAGTGTAGAGGAGAAGGAGAAGAGAAGGGGGTGAAGAGAAATCACCCCATGTTTTCACCATTTCACCCATAAAATTTCTGCACTGCACTATAATATGTAAAATAATTTCAGAATGACCAATAATTGTACTGTAAAAACGTAAAAATAGTATATGTTCAAGAGAGTCTCAAGCAAGATGTTACCTCCACTGAGCAGACACAAACTGACGCCTGCTAGGTGAGTCAAGTGGCTGTTTGGCGTGCTAAAAACTAGTTTCCTGTACTTCAATTATGTTCAATAATTGTTAAAATTATTGAATAGTACAACCTTCTTGATATTTACTCAAATGGGAACAAATTTAAGCCCTAGAACCGATTACCGTACAGTGACCCCTCGTTTAACGAACTGCCTTCCATAAGGATCTTCAATTCGGTTAACGAATTTCTTACTTAACCGACCTCAACATGTTTTCGCTTGCACTGACCAGGCAACCAGCTTTAGTATCAGTCTGCCAATACATTAATCGGTTCTAGGGCTTAAATTCCTTACTATTTTAGTAAATATCAAGAAGTTTATACTATTCAATAATTTTAAAAGTTTAATATTCAATTTTTTAGTCATTTTAACAATTATTGAACATAATTGAAGGTAAAGTGACTAGTTTAATGCGCGGCATCCAGCCTCTTAACACAGCAAACAGGCGTTAGTCTCTCTGTTTTCACTGGAGGTAACATCTTGCTTGAGACTCTATTCAACTAAACGCTTTTTTCTGTGTTTCCAAGCAAATTATTGGTCATTTTGAAATATATTTTACATATTGACAATATATAATGCAGTGCAGTGTTGATTTAAAGAAAATAATCTTGAATTACACCAAGAGAGCTAAAATTTTATGGGTGAATGGCGCCATGGGGTGACTTCTCTTCCACCCCAATGCCTTCTTCTTCCTTCCTCCACCCCCATTCTAAATCCCATCATCATCATCCAGGAGCCTTCTACATACACACCTCAAAGTAAGTGAACTTTTCTACCATTTTTGTTGAATTTAGGAAATTTTCGGTGAGCTGGAACCAATTACCCAAAAACCCATTGAAACAATGGTTTCGGTTAACGAACGACCTTCTGGAATGGATTGAGTTCGTTAACCGAGGGGTCACTGTATTGGCGGACTAATATTCCAGCTGGTGAGCAAGCGAAAACATGTTGAGAAGAATTAGTAAGGAATTCGTTAACCGAATTGAAGATTCTTATGGAAGGTAATTCGTTAACCGAGGGATCACTGTATACTGTATAGAACTATACAAAAATTAAGTGTGAATTGTTTTTGGGTAGTTGGATGGTGGACTGAGCCCCCTCCTTTGTTCCAAAGGGTTCGGTGCACCTCCAACCTTATCAATACATCATCATACAATTTCCCCATAATTATTTAGGTTAATTTGGTGCCAAGTTAATAAAACAATTACCGTTAGGTAATAAATTAAAAAAAAATCCGACACAACCCTCTATGCGTTATTGTGTGGTATTAATTCTATTTAAATCAATTAAATTATTATAATTCGTGAAGTATCAAGACTCTACCACTGTAGGTAGTAGGCAGCTATCAAACAGGGTTGTACTACCGCCTGGTAAGACATTGGAAGCATAATGTGTTGTCTTATGGTAGACCCTGCTGCCATATGGCATCACGAAAATTGTGACCAAGTCCCAGGTTGCTGTTCTGATTTTCTGCCACATTTACACACAATTGCAGGGTCTCAATTGTTTCTCCTACTCTGAGAACAGAACATACATTTATGTATTGTTTCTCACTATTGATCTTTTTTTTTATTTCTTTATGGTTCTTTATTAGTATTATTATTATTATCAGTCTTGTTATTATTATTATGATTTTTATTTTTTATTAAAATTTTTATTTACTATGAACTAATTATTATTGTTATTATATTTTTATCCACCAGGCCCCGACGTGGGTCAGTGACCTGTGCCCAGGTGGGCTAATCCCCATAAAAAAAAGGCTGATCTAATTAAACCTTCTACCCTCTCTGAGTTCTTATTCCTTAGACTTGACTGACAGAATAACACAAGTCTGCCAGTCCAGTTAGGAAAATGGTTTCTTTCTGAATTACAGAATTGATAATGGATGCATAATATTATGACAGGTGGTATGCCAGGGATGAGTACCATGGGACCTCGGACTGTAGTGGTAAACAAACCTGCCACTTCAAGCATAGCACAACAGCAACCTGGCCAGAAAGTGATCATAATGACTTCTCGGCCACCTACACCAAGTCAGGTCAGTTCTCACATATATGGTATTGAACGAGGAATAGGAAAGGATTTTCAGGAAACACCTTAGCTACGTGTGATAGCTCAGCAATACAGTTTGAAACTTAACTATATTGTGTTTCCCAAATTAAATTTCCTAAGTAAGTCTCTGTTTCCTGTTCTTTAGTCTGAGATAGTGTTAGGAAAGGTAATATCAATATGCTCCATATTTTGTTTTTGATACAGAGTGTAACCACAGAAACCATGGGTGGAGTAATGAAAACTGCAGTTGTCAATGCAGGCGGTCCATGCAGCACAGGACTTACTACTGTCACAGTTAACCCTGGGAGTTTACCTGCTGGTTCTCTAACCCAGACCACTATGGGCACAAATGTCATTGCTCCACAGACTGCTGCACACCAAACAACTAAGTATGTTGTTGTAACAGCACCAAACCAAGTTTCCATCAAGACTGAGATTAAAGAAGAACTAGAGCCATCCTAACCTCAGCCTGTGCATATCTCTTGATCTTCTTTTCAATTAGTGTCTTTGTATCCACATCATAACATACTGTATAAACCTTTTACTCATGTGAACCTCCTTCATACATCAGACTAGGATTTTGTGACTCTGCATCTGGGTCACCACCCCTTTAATTAAGTTTTGGCGGCAAAAATATGCTTTATTATTAAAGAGCTAACATGAGATTGACTAGTGAGTGCTGGAGCCCTTGTCTTCAAATTTCATAGATACTGTAAAGTATTCTAGATTATTGCACAAATTCATAGAAAACATTACAGTACATGAATTATTTATTAAACATTTTTACAGTTTATCCTTCATTTGGTGCTTTTTTTATATACTTGTACCATACACTCGCTCCAAAAAGTATCTTTACGGAGGGGTCCAATGAATTTTAAAAAGAACATCGCAATTCCTGTTGTCTCGTTAGGGTTGTCAAAATCCTTCGTCCGTTGTTTCATATTGTTTTACACAAAATCGTAAAAATAATATTTGGAGCGAGTGTACAGTCACTGGAACCCCATATGAAATGTACTCAAAATATATTCATACAGTGAAGTATCTGTCAACAGAAAGTCTACTTCACAAAAGATTTGATCATTATAAATGTGAAATATAAGAATATAGAATAACTTTCTTTTGTTTAATTTTCCATATTCTACATTAGAGTAAATGTAGATATATTGGACAATTAAGCAACTGGCCGAGTGACTGTGTGTGGTGGTGAGTGAGAAGTCTACTTGTCTGTTTGAGGAGTAAATTATATGATGATTGTAGGAGAACGATGACACATTGAGAGCTTATTTGTAAACTTAATAACATTGACAATGAAGTAAGCAAGTTTATTGTTATTTGTAGAAACTGATATATGATCAAACTGACAAAAGCATTATGGTTTATTACAAACTTTACTTGGACACATTCATTGTACACGTAGTATTCACATTTTACTGAAGCCTTTTGATCCTAAATGCTTTGGTTGACAGATACTTTACTGCACAAGAAAAATAACACAGTGCAGAAAGTTTTAATTTACTTCATTGAATTTATACAGTACTGTACAGTATTTCTGTTTGACCAAACCTGTATACATAAAAATGTTCTGTTAGTGATAATTAATATGGGTATGGGTGTTATGGAAAACAGCTTCCTCACTCAATATTGTATTCATATTTATTTGTTCTTAATTGTAACCCAGAGTTCTCAGAGTTGCATAGACATAGTCAAGAAAAAATAATTTATCATAAGGTAGATCTCACATTAACCATTCACTGTTTTCATGTATTCACCCAACAGATTTGTGTTGCAATGTTGTCAAGCAGAAACACTTGCAATTTTAAAATTGCAAGCCATATGATTGAATAGAATGTAGGTTAACATTAATTTATCAAATTATTTTTAATTCTATAGTGTATATGAATACAGTACAATAAAATCATCTGTCTTCTCTATTTATGATAAAACCAAATAAATATAATTATTAATAATTCTTTACTTTTATTATCTTACTGTGTAGAAAGATGGCTGTATTCCCATACTGGTTATAAAAAGCATTTATGCTGAGAACATGGAAAGAGAGAGATTGGTAAAGAGAATGCGTGGTTTAGAGAGTGATGGTAGGAGGAAGACGGAAAGATCCAGGAGATGGGTGTGGACTGAGTAATGGATACAGTAAAAGTACCGGTAGTGTGCATGAATGAGCAGAGTGTACAGCATAAAATGATTTAGGGAAGGACCTGATGCTGGATTATGTGAATAACTGGGTAAACCAGATTTGGGGCTTTGGTGTGGAAAGGAAGTATCATAGCAGAAAACATTTACAATGGCATTCAGAATGAGATGATGAAAGACAATGAAGGCAGAAAGCATATGGGTGGGTTGTGGGAAGAAAACAAAAGAATGGGTTGGTCAGTTTATAATACTCTACTATACAGTATATGAAATACTAAAGCATTTAGTACATTTAACTGAAAAATAAGTGAGTTTGGATAAGGATGTATTGAAGTAGCAATTAAAATTCTTTGAACAAAACTGAAGTCATTCATAGTCTGTCACCTTCAGAACTACATGCCCCCTCGCTTAACATGGGTTTGTTTTACGCGGATTCACTCGAACACAGGTTTTTTATTACTGCCTGGTATTGCTCAACACATTTCAAAATGAATTCCTACAACTCCTGGGCAGCCAAGTGATATCACATCTCATCATGGAGATACCAAACAGCAAAATACTGTGCCCTCATCTTGGACAGTACTTGTACTCCAGATTAATCACACACTGATCAGATGTCTCGAATTCAAAGATATATGTCCATATCTCGCATGATTATATATATATATATATATATATATATATATATATATATATATATATATATATATATATATATATATATATATATATATATATATATATATATATATAATAGCCAGACCCTGATTCTACTTACTGCCACTTAATTTACTAATCACTGCAGATTTTTATTAATTTATTTTTCAAATGAATAATGAGGAATGGATACAGAACAGTGAAAGTAATAAATAATAAGGAATGGTTACAGTGTGACTGAGCACTTACCTTTAATGTAGTCAGCTGAATGTACATGGGGCCCCATAATTTTCTAATTATACATGGAACTACATAACTGAAACGTTTCGGTATAGAAAATGCATGTGTCATTTGGAGAAATTTTTTTTTTTTTTTTTTTTTTTTAATAAAAATCTGCGGTAGCGAGTAAGTTGAAGCAGTCGTCGGGGGTCTAGGTGTATATATATGTATATGTGTATATATATATATATATATATATATATATATATATATATATATATATATATATATATATATATATATATAGATATATATATATATATATATAAATATATATATATATATATATATATATATATATATATATATATATATATATATATATATATATATATATATATATATATATATATATATACAGCTAGACCTGATATACTGCTACGACTTACGACACGCAGATTTTTATTAATTTATTTTCAAATGAATAATGAGGAATGGATACAGTACAGTGAAAGTAATAAATAATAGGAATGGTTACAGTGTGACTGAGCACTTACCTTTAATGTAGTCAGCTGAATGCACATGGGGCCCCATAATTTTCTAATTATACATGGAACTACATAACTGGAAACGTTTCGGTATAGAAAATGCATGTGTCATTTGGAGAAATTTTTTTTTTTTTTTTTTTTTTAATAAAAATCTTATGCGGTCGAAGTCCCGACGGTCATAAGTTGAAGCAGTCATAAGTCGGGTCTAGGTGTATATATATATATATATATATATATATATATATATATATATATATATATATATATATATATATATATATATATATATATATATATATATATATATATATATATATATATATATATATATATATATATATATATATATATATATATATATATATACTCTATAAGACGAATTGAAATTAAAAATCGCCCAAAGTTAGGGTCGCTTAATCACCAAGTATAAAATTTACCTCTAAATAGGTCAAATGGTGATGAAACATGTAAACCACTCACAAAGTCCTACCAGAAAGTGACTTGACAGACCGCCGAGCTATTTTGCCTTGTGTTAGGTGGTCATAATGCATATCTGAATTACTGATCATAATACTTATTCCTATAAATAATTAATTAAAAATTAATTTTTCAAAAATATTCAGTAAATAGTAATTTGAAACTACCGACAGTGTAAATTTAGATATAAATGATGAACGATCACTCATGGAGTCATGATTCGAGTTTCTAATGATCACCTACCAGTTATAATGCTAGCCTCCAAACAAGTATAAATTAAAGAAAATACTGCAGTGTGTTTAATATACAGATATTATAAATAAATAAATAAACAAATAAACGGCAAATCTATTTTAAGTAATGGAAATATTTACTCACACCAACATTAGTTCCAATTAAATAACTGCCGCTTATGAGTCACTAGTACACCAGCCGTATAATTTGATGCCAATACTTGAAGTGAATTGCATTATTTTAAATAACCAACAATAAATAAATGAAAAAGATCAAAGGTGAGAAACATTATATGTATGTATGTTAGTTGTCAAGGAAGAAAACAATTGAAACTCTGCAATTGTGTGTAAATGAGACAGAAAGATAAATCAGCAACCAAGACTTGGTCACAATTCGTGATGCCATATGGAAGAGGGTCTACATTAGACAATACTGTACATTGTGCTCAATATCTTCCCAGGCAGTAGAATCTCCCATTGGTAGCGCCCAAAACTTTTAGTAATATTACGATACAACATGATAAATTAGACAAACAATGAAATAAACAAAAAAAAAGTTATTTACAAGACCTCTGAGAACAGAGGGATGTAGGGGAAGGAAGGAAGAGATAAGACGCATTTATAGCCTGTCTGTGTGAAGTCGACCACACTAGAAATAATTAATTTATTATGTAGTAGGGAGTGTGAGTGGTGGGGGTTGTGAAAGCTGAGGATGTGTATGGTGTGGGGGGGTAGTGTTGTGAGATGCTGTAAGAGAGTGGGGCCTGGTACATGAGGATGTAATGGTGTGGATTGTGGTAGTGGAGGAGTGTGAGGGTGTAGGGGGTGTAGAGTGAGGATGCTGTATGAGTAGTGTGGGGCTTGTGGTTCAGGGAGGATGAGTGGTGGGGGGCTGGGTGTGTGAGGATTTGAAGGGTGTGGGGGCAGAGTGGTAGTGTTAGGAGGATGCGGATGAGTAGGTGGGGGCTGTTCAGCAGAGGATGTGAGGGTGGGGGTTGTGCAGAAGGATGCATGAGTAGGGGACTTGTGGTCATTGTGAGGATGAGGGTGGGGGGCGTGGTAGAGGAGGATATGAGTAGTGGGGCTGTGGTCGAAGAGAGGATGTGAGGGTGGGGGGGTGTAGTGTTAGAGGATGCGGTTGGGGGGGCGACAGTTTGAGGATGGAGGTGGGGGGTTGTAGGAGGATGTGTGAGTGGGGTAGAGGATGCGTATGAGTGTGTGGGGCTTTTGGTACAGTTGTGAGGATGTAGTGGTGTGGGGTTGTAGTGAGGATGCTGTATGAGTAGTGTGGGGGCGGTACAGGAGGATGTGAGTGGTGGGGGGTTGTGTAGGTTGTGAGATGCTGTATGAGAGGGGCACAGAGAGGATGTGAGTGGTGGGGGTGGAGTGAGTCAAACCACACCACCCTCAACACACTACCTCTTCCCATCACCATCCAACACACCAACCACACACCTGGTCACCCTACATTAAACACCTATACTGGAGTTGATGACTGCTGTGAATCGATGATTTCTGCCCGACACGAATACGTCATCAACCTCAGTCAGGATAATATTAGCCCTGGCACGGTACCTCTCTAAAGTGCATAGGTGATTGTATTTGTCATCTAACCCAACTTAAATGGAGTTGTCAACTTCACTGTAATTACAATCTCCAGTTTTAGTTTCTTTATTCAACTGGTATATATCTACAAGATTATTTAACCAGACGTGACACTTTTTGTAAAGTCATGAGTATAAATACAATATTCAGTATACGAGTGTCAGTTGAGATGGGAGGGTGACATTAGTGCAGCTAAACATTTTCAAGAGAATCATGAAATGGTGGACAAGCACCAAATTTGGCATGGTAATTTCAATGGTTACTAGTCGTCTGCCTGATTGGCCATTTAAAATCAAGATGGCGACCATTTCATGACCGCCATATTGACCTTCAAAAGTTGATTTCTTATAGAAATTGATGTAGTTGGTCAATCTGGGTGATTTGGTGTCGATATGTATGTTTTCAAGATGCTTAGATGATTTTTATAGTTTAGTCCATTGAACATTTTATCACATAAAATAACACTTTATAAAAATATAACAAAAAGAACTTACTAAAAAAAACGTAAACAGAACAGTCCCACCACCGAGCGAGTAACACCCACCAAATCGCTCGTGAAGCAAGCAATAAATTAAAGAAAATACTTGCAGGTGTTTATGTTACAGTATATTATAAATAAACAAAACGAAATCCATTTCAAGTAAATGGAAATTTTACGCATTAGTTCAGTTACGTAAATAGCAGACCCAGTACGCCACTATGTTTACACACACCAGCGGTAACATTGATGACATTACTGAAGTGATCTATTTAAAAAACCAAGGATGTTGGTAGAGGACTACTGAGTCAGTGGGTAAGGTCACATGGGGTACTGTCTTATACAGCGAATAGAGCTCAAAACTACTTTTAAATGGAAATTTGGGGCGTCTTATGCACCCCGAGCTTATAGCAGAGATATACGTATATATATATATATATATATATATATATATATATATATATATATATATATACAGTGACCCCTTAACTAGAATCGCCCGGTTAACGTAACTGCCTTCCATATGGATCTTCAATTCGGTTAACGAACAAAAAATTCGTTAACGAATTTCTACAAACCGACCTCAACATGTTTTTGCTTGCACTGACCGGGCAACCAGCTTTAGTATCAGTCCGCCAATACATTAATCGGTTCTAGGGCTTAAATTCTTATTATTTTAGGTAAATATCAAGAAGTTTATACTATTCAATAATTTTAAAAGTTTAATATTCAATTTTTTAGTCATTTTAACAATTATTGAACATAATGAAGGTAAAGTGACTAGTTTAATGCGCGGCATCCAGCCTCTAAACATAGCAAACAGGCGTTAGTCTCTCTCTTTCACTGGAGGTAACATCTTGCTTGAGACTCTCTTCAACTAAACGCTTTTTGTTTCTGCCAAATTATTGGTCATTTTGAAATATATTTTACATATTGACAATATATAATGCCAGTGTTGATTTAAAAGAAAATAATCTTGAATTACACCAAGAGAGCTAAAATTTTATGGGTAATGGCCCATGGGGTGACTTCTCTTCCACCCCAATGCCTTCTCTTCTTCCTTCTCCTCCACCCCCATTCTAATTCCCATCATCATGATCCAGGAGCCTTCTACATACACACCTCAAAGTAAGTGAACTTTTCTACAATTTTTGTTGAATTTAGGAAATTTTCAGTGAGCTGGAACCAATACTCCAAAAACCCATTGAAACAATGGTTTTGGTTAAGGGCAATTTAGGGGAATTTTAGGAGTGTTTCTGACTTTATGCATTTTTGGTTTTACTTTGTATGTACTTTTCTGTGAGCTGGAACCAATTACCCAATACCCCATTGAAATACAGTAATGGATTCGGTTAACAAATTTTTCGGTTAACGAATGACTGTGGAACGAATAGTGTTCGTTAACCGAGGGACCACTGTATTTTGTTATCTAATTCTAAAGGATAATTATTTTTAGTTTTCAAATTTGACTGTTGACAAATGTGTTGTGTACAGTAGAGTACTGGACATGCATTTCAAATTGTAATATAGGCAGTTCATTTCATTCCATGTTTTACTCAGCCCTTAAGTTTCTAACAGTGAGGGGTAACCATGTCAAAAATGCAAACAAAAAATTATCAAGTAAACCAAAATGTAGTTAAATTGTAGTGGATTCTCCCTACAAACACCGTTTGTCGCGACGACCCACGAATCCAGCCGCACCTCGTGTCTAGGTCAACCAGTCACTTGGCGAGAGGTCAACTATTACAAACGCCTACTCCAATATATAAGACCCCACTTGGCCGTCATCGCTCTCTTTCTACCTACAGCCACCAGCAAGCAACACTGCCTTCTCCTCCGCTCCTGCCTGGCGGCCCTCGCTCCCGCCGGAGACCATGGCGACCCACAAGCTTGTCCTCCTCTGAGCACCCTCACCAACCAGCTCTCTCTACATCACACTTGTAACCACACTGCCACTTCCCAGCACCATGCTGCACTGTATACATCCAATACAATATGTATACAGAGAGCACATTGTGAGTTTCTTTCCATCCCATCCTGAGTGTGAACCAATACCCCACAAATGGTGTCCCCGGAGTGACCACTCACACAGGATGGGGGAGAAAAACATCCCATACCCCACAAATGGTGACCCCGGAGATTGCACTAACACAGGATGGAGGAGAAACCGATCACTCTCCCAGTCTTCAAGCAACATGGAAGACTGGTCCACACAGAGGCAGCTCTCATCGGCTCTATAGCTACTGTCTACAACCGCAGGTTAGACACCCTAAACAGCACTGCTTCTAAGAGACACCAGCTCCTCTTCCTGCCCCCAAGCACCACGTCCTTCCGACCCCAGCAGGCGCATCTGAGGACTCTGTACCTGCCGAGAGGGAAGCACAGCATTCGACGCCCCCACACACTGTTTTTTTCCCTCAGGCACTCCCTGCTACTGTCCTGCACGCTGCTGCTGTCGTGGACCCTGCTGCTGTTAGAACCTGCTCCTATCATAGACCTCCTCCTGACGTCGCTCCTGACCCAGTCATCCCAGCCAGTGACCATGAGGACGCTGCACCTTCAGCGACAGAAGCACAACATTCATCGCCCTCACACCCTTTTTCTCCCTCTCTTCTCCCACATATCTCGTGTGTCTAGACAGTTGTCTCCCCTAGCGGCCGGCTCATCCACGCCCTCGCCATTCTGCCTCACGTGCCATGCAACCCTGCAGACAACAAGTCTCCTACACCGCCTGGAGGGAAGGGGGATGTGGATTCCTCCCCTACAAACGCCGTTTGTCACTGACGAGACGACCCACGAATCCAGCCGCACCTCGTGTCTAGGTCAACCAGCGCCGCCTTACATGACGGAGGTCAACTATTAAGCCACGCCTACCCCTGCTATATAAGACCCCACCTGGCCGTCATCGCTCTCTTTCTACCTACAGCCACCAGCAAGGAACACCTCCTCCTCCTGCCTGGCGGCCCTCGCTCCCGCCGGCAACCATGGCGACCCACAACCTGGTCCTCCTCTGAGCATCCTCACCAACCAGCTCTCTCTACATCACGCTTGTAACCACGCTGCCACTTCCCAGCACCGAGCTGCACTGTACATCTAATACAATATGTATACAGAGAGCACATTGTGAGTTTCCTTTCTCCATCCCATCATGAGTGTGAACCAACATCTCGTACCCCACAAATGGTGACCCCCGGAGTGACCACTCACACAGGATGGAGGAGAAAAACATCCCGTACCCCACACAATATCATAAAGCTCAAGAGAAAAGAAAAATCCTGCTTATCCGGTTTAACACTTTGTGCTCTGGGTCACTTTGATATTTCATGCAGACTAGTGCCAGATGATTACTGTACTATGCATTTATTTCAAAGAATAACTGGAACTGAAAATGCTAAGAAATATGCAAGCAGGATAATGTGCATAGCAGCATTTTCAGTGATCCTATAGAGTGTTTAATTTTAAGTGATGATTGGCAGCTGCACGAATTCTCCTTAGATTATCCAGGAAATACATATGATCATCATCAGCTGTTACTGAGCAACAAATTAAAGATTAACTGAAAATATGAATGTTAAACCAGGCAAATCATGCTTAATAATTTTATCAAGGAAACCTCTCAGTGAAAACCACAAACGGCCAAAATGATTCTTGAAATTGACGGCCAGGAAATTAAATGTTGAATAAGAAGCAAAAGCCCTTGATGTAGCTGTGGTGAGGTGGCACTCGGAAGTCTTGGCCCCAGTGGCACATGGTCTCGCTGGGGTCCGGGCAACCCCTGGGTTAGGAGGTTAGGTTTGGTTTGTTTAAGGGGGTTTTGTCCAAGGGGGATTTTGTCCTGGGGGGGCGGGGTTGTCCTACACTCGGTCTCGCTATGCCACTGGTTATGACCTAGGTGCATCCTATTGCATTATGTGAGATTGAATCTAAATTAAAAGCCATTCTTTTGACTATTCCTGAAGCTGACAAGAGATCTTTCTGTAGCTCTTCACAGTATGTTTGGTTCTTAATTTCCCTGAATAATTTGGTATCTTGTTATGACTGAGACATGTGAGCTTTATTGAGCTATGGGTGACAGAAAAGACTAAGGAGGAGGACACACAGACTACGGGGGGGGACATAAAGGACTAGGGAGGGGGACGAAGGACTAAGGAGGGGACACAAAGGACTAAGGAGGGGGACACAAAGGACTCAGGAGGGGACACAAAGGACTAAGGAGGGGGACACAAAGGACTAACGAGGGGGACGAAGACTAAGGAGGGGGGACACAAGGGACTGAGGGGGACACAAAGGACCAAGGAGGGGGACACAAAGGACTCAGGAGGGACACAAAGGACTCAGGAGGGGGACAAAGGACTCAGGAGGGGACACAAAGGACTCAGGAGGGACACAAAGGACTCAGGATGGGGACGAAGGACTAAGGAGGGGACAAAGGACTCCAGGAGGGACACAAAGGACTCCAGAGGGGACACAAAGGACCAGGAGGGGACACAAAGACCCAGGAGGGGACACAAAGGACTCAGGAGGGGACACAAAGGACCCAGGAGGGGGACACAAAGGACTAAGGAGGGGAAGGACTCAAGGAGGACAAGACAAGGAGACCAGGAGGGAACAAAGGACTCAGGAGGGGGGACACAAAGGACCCAGGAGGACAAAGGACCCAGGAGGGGGACACAAAGGACCCAGGAGGGCACACAAAGGACTCAGAGGGGACAAAGGACTCAGGAGGGAAAGGACCAGGAGGGGGACAAAGGACAAGGGACACAAAGGACCAAGGAGGGGACACAAAGGACCCAGGGATGGAGGGAACAAAGGACTCAGGAGGGACACAAGGACCAAGGGGGAGACCAAGGACCAAGGAGGGGGACAAAGGACCAAGGAGGGGACACAAAGGACCAGGAGGGGAGGCAAAGACCCAGAGGGGACACAAAGGACTCAGAGGGGGAAGGAAGGGACCTGAGGAGGGGACACAAAGGACCCAGGAGGGACAAGACTCAGGAGGGGAAGGGAAACAAAGGACCAGAGGGACACAAAGGACCCAGGAGGGGACACTAAGGACCAAGGAGGGGACACAAAGGACCAGAGGGGGACACAGGACCAAGGAGGCAGGCCAAGGACCAAGGAGGGGGACACAGGACTCAGGAGGCAAAGGACCAAGGAGGGGGACACAAGGACCAGGAGGGGGA